TTCTTTTTTAACAGTTGAGTAATTCTGTTGTGCAGAATTTCAATGTTTTGAAGTGTATGTAATGATATGTTCATGAGACCCAACTCTCTGTTTGAGGATGCCACCATAACCTATGTCAGAGGCATCAGTTTCAACAATTTTGAAAGCTTGAGGAATGGGAAGATAGAGACAATTTATTTTTCTGACTATATTCTTTATTTCTTTGACGAAATTGGTATGAACATCAGTCCAAGAAGGAGGATTCTTTTTAAGCCTATCATGTAAAGGCTTGATAATATTATTGAGGTGTGGAATAAAATCACCTACATAATTAAGACATCCCAAAAACCTTTGTAACTGGGTTTTATCTAGGACTCTATTAGGAAATTTATCAGTAAATTCAATGGACCTGCTGATAGGAATGATAGTTCCTTGATGAATATTGTGACCAAAGAATCTAATATTTGTTTGAAAGAGATTAATTTTAGACTTGGAAACAGCAAGTCTGTTATGTTTAATAACATTGATAAAAACATTTGTGTGTTTGAAATGTTGATCAATGGAATGGGAAAAAATTAGGACATCATCGATATAGACAATGACAAATTTTGAATAAGGATTGAAAATGTCATTCATGATTTTCTGAAACTCAGAAGGGGCATTTTTTAGATTGAAGGGCATAACATTCCATTCGTAATGCCCAAAAGGGACAGTAAAGGTAGTCTTGTACCTATCATTTTCACAAATTTGGATCTACCAAAATCCAGATTTCATATCGAATTTTGAAAAGATCTTAAAAGAGTTTAATCTGTTAAGGAGGTCTTTTTTGTTGAGAATAGGACGCCTAATCCACTAGAGAGCCTGGTTAAGGGGTTTGTAATTGATAACTAGCCTGGGAGTACCTCTTTCTATTTCTGCAGGTTTATTAACATAAAAAGCAGAACATGACCAAGGACTCTTATTTTTCTAATAAGATTTTTATCTAAGAGATCTTTGATCTCTTTCTGACAATAATGAAGGAGCTCTTCATTCATTTGGATAGGTCTAGCCTTGGTGGGTATTTGGCTATCCTTAAAACCTGACTCATAAGGAAGACTAACAATATGTTTCTTCCTATTCCAGAATGCGCTGGGCAAGTCAGAACATATAGATGATTGGATATTTTCTAAAAGAGATTGAATTTTCTTCTGAAGTGAAGGATTTTGTAATAGTTTTTCAATGTTGGCAAAAGAAACTTTCTCTTTCAGAAAGTTAATTTGATTAATTTTATTTTGAATGGAATTGATATTTTTAGTAAATGGTTTACTGGAAAATTTGAAAGTTATTTGCTTCCTTAAATGATAAGTGAAAATTCCATCTTTCGAAATTTGTAGTTGGAAGAGGGCTTTTATAAAAGGTGTTCCCAAAATAACTTCATTTTTCAGATTTTTCACAAGGAGAAAGTTAGTTTCAATCTTAAGCCCTTGATTTTCAATCACAGCTTTAGAAAGCTTATAATTAATTTTGAGCTTTGAACCACTAGCAGTGTTGAGTTTTTCAGAAGTTTTCTCGAAATACTTTGTAGGAATTAAACCTTCTAAAATACAATTTGAATCAGCTCCGGTATCAAAGAGGACTAAAGTATCAAGAACATAATCATCAATAATGATTCTGATATTAATGTAAAATTTTTGAATTTTGACCTTGTTGATCAAACACATAAAGGTTTCTTCCCGATTACCAGAATCGACCCTTACAGAATTATTATCTTCAGGAAGTTCTTCTTTCTCAATATCAAATTCATCATCTAATTGGGAAAGAATAACTTGATGAATTTGTTGTTGTTCTTTAATTTCTCTAATCTCTTTCTTGAGATTGTTAATCTCAATCTGGAGATCCTGAATAGTGGTTGGTTTGATATTAGAATTCTTTTATAGTCTTTTGAAAATATTTGTTATATCAAACTTATTTGTAGTAAAATATTCTTTGGGTTTAGGTTTAGTTTCTAAAACTTCTTTGAATTTATTTAAAAATTCTTTCCTTTCCTGAAAGGTCAGAAATGGAGCTTATTGCTTCAATAAGAAGATCTTGTTCTTTTGTCAAAACATTGATTTCTGGAGTTTCATCACTATCAGAAGAAGAAATTTGATCATCATTTTGGATTTGGTTGACGTCCTCATCTGATTCTTTAACAGAATCTTCATCAGAGGTTTCAATAAGGAGGTTATTGATCCGTTCTTCTATAGAAGGCTCTAGGTTAAGATTGCTAATTTTCTTTTTCAGCCTACAGTATTTACTGATATGGCCGGGTTTACCACAGTTGTAACATGTTACACCTGTTCTGGGTTTCTTAGGAATATTGGTGGGGATAACACTTTCCCCTTGTTTCTTGGAGGGAGGTTTTCTATTGTATTTTCGTTTGTAAGGCTTCTTATAAGTTTCAACAGCCTCTTTCTTGGGAGCCTGTTTCTTCTTTTTGGTGGAGCAAGATGAAAGACCAAACTGCTCGCAGAAAGATCTTAATTCTTTCTTACTCAAGGCTTTTTCTTTGGCAAGATGCTTCTGGAGTTTATCCTTTTGACAAACTTTGATGGCATTATGAATAATGATGCCAGTAAGTTGACCATAGTCATAACTATCATAATTTATTTTTCCAGTAGGAGAATGACTTCAGAGTTTATTTCTAATAAGATCTCTGAAAGCAGATATTTTTCTTTCCAATAGGCTTGGTTGCAATCTTCTCTGGTTAAAACTCTAGACATGAAGGTATCCTTATACCATTTAAATTGTCCTAAAGATTCACACCTAAGGTTTGAAAGGAGTTCACCGAATCTTTCTCTCCAAAGAGAAGGATCTCCAAGAAAATGTTGGAATATTGTGTACAACAACGTATACACTGCATCAGGGAGATGCTCATTGTCACTGACAATGGTTTTTCCCTTGTCATCAATTTTAACTGCAGAGAGGATGTTTTTTCTATCAAGGGCTTAAGATTAAAACTAACTTTCTCCTTGTGAAAAATCTGAAAAATGAAGTTATTTTGGGAACACCTTTTATAAAAGCCCTCTTCCCACTACAAATTTCGAAAGATGGAATTTTCACTTATCATTTAGGGAAGCAAATAACTTTCAAATTTTCCAGTAAACCATTTACTAAAAATATCAATTCCATTCAAAATCAAATTAACTTTCTAAAAAAGAAAGTTTCTTTTGCCAACATTGAAAAACAATTACAAAATCCTTCACTTCAGAAGAAAATTCAATCTCTTTTAGAAAACATCCAATCATCTATATGTTCTGACTTGCCCAGCGTATTCTGGAATAGGAAGAAACATATTGTTAGTCTTCCTTATGAGTCAGGTTTTAAGGATAGCCAAATACCCACCAAGGCTAGACCCATCCAAATGAATGAAGAGCTCTTTCATTATTGTTAGAAAGAGATCAAAGATCTCTTAGATAAAAATCTTATTTGAAAAAGTAAGAGCCCTTGGTCATATTCTGCTTTTTATGTTAATAAACCTGCGGAAATAGAAAGAAGTACTCTCAAGCTAGTTATCAATTACAAACCTCTTAACCAGGCTCTCCAGTGGATTAGGCATCCTATTCCCAACAAAAAAGACCTCCTTAACAGATTAAACTCTGCTAAGATCTTTTCAAAATTCGATATGAAATCTGGATTTTGGCAGATCCAAATTTGTGAAAATGATAGGTATAAGACTACCTTTATTGTCCCCTTTGGGCATTACGAATGGAATTTTATGCCCTTCGATCTAAAAAATGCCCCTTCTGAGTTTCAGAAAATCATGAATGACATTTTCAATCCTTATTCAAAATTTGTCATTGTCTACATCGATGACGTCCTAATTTTTTCCCATTCCATTGATCAACATTTCAAATACATAAATATTTTTATCAATGTTATTAAACATAACGGACTTGTTATTTCCAAGTCTAAAATTAATCTCTTTCAGACAAATATTAGATTCCTTGGTCATAATATTCATCAAGGAACTATCATTCCTATCAGCAAGTCCATTAAATTTGTTGATAAATTTCCTGATAGAATCCTAGATAAAACCCAATTACAAAGGTTTTTGGGATGTCTTAATTATGTAGGTGATTTTATTCCACACCTCAATAATATTATCAAGCCTTTACATGATAGGCTTAAAAAGAATCCTTCTTCTTGGACTGATGTTCATACCAATGTCGTCAAAGAAATCAAGAATAGAGTTAGAAAAATAAATTGTCTCTATCTTCCCATTCCTTAAGCTTTCAAAATTGTTGAAATTGATGCCTCTGACATAGGTTATGGTGGCATCCTCAAACAGAGAGTTGGGTCTCATGAGCATATCATTGCATATACTTCAAAACATTGAAATTCTGCACAACAGAATTACTCAACTGTTAAAAAAGAAGTTTTAGCAATTGTTTTATACATATCAAAATTTCAATCTGATTTATTAAACCAAAATTTTTTTATTAGAGTAGACTGCAAGTCTGCTAAAGAAATTTTACAAAAGGATGTTAAAAATCTTGCCTCAAAACAAATTTTTGCAAGATAGCAAGCAATTTTAAGTGTTTTTGATTTTGATATAAAATATCTCAAAGGCACCTCCAATTCCCTTCCTGACTACCTTACCCATGAATATTTACAGGATAAGTAGAATGCTTAGAAAGGAAACGACCCCTTCTAAGGGAGGTTCGTCTAAAGGAGGAATAGTTAGGCTCGCCCTGACTCTTAACAAAACAAAATCAAAGTCTGTCACCACAAACTTTTGTTCCAATTCTTCGGAGTCATCCACTCTGACTGGGTCATCCACCCAGAAAGCTATCCAGATTGTAGAGTCATCTACTCAGCAATCTGTGATTTCTAAAAAAGACTCATCCAACAAGGCTGATTCTTCCCAATCACAAACGAAAAGTGTTAAACAAACCAAACCAGACTATGCTTTCCCTGTTAATACACTTCTAGCCATATAAAAAGGAAGCCTAAACAGCCTACCAAAGAAATCTTAGGCAGACATTGCCTCTGATGAAGACATGGAAATTGATTTAGCAAACCTAAACACTATTATCCAGTCCTTCAGTCAATCGCAAAAGACAATAAGTCTTCCTGATAAAACAGAGAAAGCTATTAGCCTTCAAAAGGGTAAAACCTCAAATACCAATCATTACATGGCAAAAGGAAAATTCTCCTCTGTCATCCAAATGGAACCCGAATTTTGGGACAAAAATCCATACAAAGCCATCACCAAAGCATTCCCTCCTGGTTTTCATTTTAGACCATATGCCTTGAATAAGACTAGACAATTTTATGAGTTCATTTTAATAGATTCAGATTCTGTCTCTATTAAACATTACAAGGACCAAAAAGATCCTTCAATAATCACTTATTCAACAATACAAATTTTAAAAATCCTGTCACCAAAGAATTTTGGAAAATTTTGGAAAATTTTGGAAAAGATCCAAACGCATTCAAAAAATTCTCCCAATCTTTTGATCTGGTAGGATATAATTACTGGGACTACATTGATGCCTGGACAAGGAATTTCTGGTTCCAAAATAAACTCAATCGACACTCTTGGTTGATTTATTTCAAGAAAAATCAAAATTACAATTTCCCTAACTAGTTCCTTCAATGGTGGGACTTCTTTGGACCATTAGAAGCAATCCTTCCATCTCCAGTAAAAGAAGGATTTGAAACATTCAAAAATAGATATGCTCCCAACAGAATTGGTGCAGATCTCAAGTATTTCTCTACATTTGCTATGGCCTGGTGTCGCAACCGGGCGGTCGCAACGGTACGGCAAAAAACATTTTTTAAAAAGTATCAGAGGAGTCGCCCCCAAAGTTTATTTTAAGAAAAACCTTGGAAAAACTTAAATATAATACGATCTTTGAAACCAAAAATGAGTTCGAGAGTCATTTACGTGTAGGGAAGGTATTAGCACCCTACAACGTTCGTTTAAAAACGGTTACCTAAAATTAATTGTGCAAATTCATTCTAATTTTGAAAAATATTTATTTAACCCCTAAACATTAATTATTTTATTTTAGAAGAAGAAATATTATTTATTGAAATATTATTTGGGTTATTTTAAAAATTATTTTGACTTGACGGGTTCGGTTCCCGCTCCTACGTATCCCCGGGTGCAATGGGGAACTCAAAGCCACGTAGTTCTATCTAAAAATTATGAAATTAGTTGATTAAAATTAGGTTTAGTAAAAGAAAATTTATTTTGAAATTAAAATTATTTTGTAAAATTATAATATTTAGAATACAAGATAACGCGGTTATACATGTAATCTACGAGCAACAATACAGAAAGTGAAGGGAGATCACACAACTTGCAAATCGTTAAAAAATATTTTATTCGTAAATCAAGTATTTGAATTTGAATTTTGATTATGAACAACGTTGAAAGAGAATTAAAGATAGCGTAAGCTATACGTTAATCTCTTATAATTTTTGAACAATCGAAGGCAATGTAAATCACACACCGATGTTAAAAAAAAAAGTATAATATAATAAAAATGAAGAAATGATTTGTTATTTAATTTATTAAAATTAGAAATATGATTCAAGAAATTTTAAAATATGAAATTAATTTCATTTAATGAAATGAATAAATAAATTTGAATTGATTAAAAAATATCTAATAAAAAAAAATTAAAACTTTGTTGGATAAATTTATGTTATATAGAACCTAAGGTAACGTTGGTACACATAGATTCTAATAATTTATAACACGTAAAGGTAGAGTTGCTACACATTAGCATTATAAATTATTATATTAATAAAATAATTTTAATTTAAATTGATTGATTGATTAATAAAATAGTAATAAAATGTAAATATAAAATTAAATTATACCAACATATAAGGTTATACAATACAATTAAAAAAAAACTAATATAACAAAAATTATACGAAAAAAAAATGTAAAACACAAACTAAGAAATTAAATAAAAAAGTGAGACTAAATATATTATGAAAATTTATAGATCACATAAACCAAATTTGATCATTTATTATTATTATTATTGTTGTTATTGTTATTATTATTATTATTATTTAATTAATAAATAAAATTAAAACAGCTAAAATTTTTTTAAAAAATAAGAGGTGAACTTCTTTTATTTTTATTGAATTAAATCAAAATACCCTAAAATGAAAAGAAAACTTAAAAATAGAAAAAAAAATTAATAAAAAGATCCACAAATCTATCAACCGTGGATAAAGTAACTTAGATCAAATCACAATCCAGAAGCAAAATGCTACGAGTGTAGCAATCAGTACTATCCAACAACTATATCTAATAAAAGAATAAAAAAATAAAAAAAAAAAGAAAAATCATGAAACAATACAGCAAAAGTCAAAAACTAGATTCAATTCATATTCATCGAGCCTTGCGTATGACAGTGGGACAAAATTACCTTTCATTTCACAACATTAAAAAAAAATAAAACAATGTACTATTACTTGATAAAAAAGAAAGTAAAGTAAAATGCCAAAAGGAAATGAGAGTCATTTTTATTACTTGGTTATTTCGTATTTCTTAACATATAACTCCTTCGTTCATACATTTCGCAGATACATTGATGAGAGCAAAAGATATGTGAAGTAAGGGTTACCTTGGTAAGGTGCAGCGAATATGGTGGCTAAGGCTATCGGAAGCATTTGTAATGGTCAAAAAGCATTGGTTTTTTTTTTCTTTTCTTAATATTCTTCCTCTCTAAAAATACTTATTTCTCATTTTTTCATCTTTTAAAAACCTTTCTTCTTATCTTCCGTCCCCTTTTTTATCCCAGATCACCCTCTTTAAAAAATACTCTACTCTTCTCCTCAAACTAGCTGTTGTCTCCCTCTCTTTATCCTCGAAAAAACCACCCCCTCTGATTTTTTTACTTCTCATTTTATACTGGTACGTTTAGGGTTTTTTACAAAATGCCAAAAGTTCTGATTTTGCCTTTCTTGTGCTTAAGAACGATTTTTGATGTGGAGGTATAAGCCAGTGTAATGCAGGTTGCTGTTCCGGGAAGCAAAATCATTTTTTTCAAAAAAATTTCTATTTTGCTGTAAAACAAATTTATTTCATTTTATTAATTTTTTTTTAAATTTTGGAAGTAATATCTAGAAGGCAAAAATTGGTATTCACACCTGGATATTCTCATGGCAGTACAGGTATAGCAAGACAGAAGAAGATGATATTCTTCCCATGATTCACAGACATGCTTTTGTGAAATGGTGGAACCAATTCAATGTAGAACATGCCGGACCACAAGGAGTTAATAAATTTTTTGGAAACAATCCAAAACTCTTGAAGCTTGCTGATCCAGCAACTTTTCAATTTTTGAAACAGAAAGCAAAGATTGCCGCCTTCCTATCAGGATGTGATTCTAAAGATAAAATGAAGAAAAACTTAAAAGAAGTTCTTCTTCTTCTGAATCAAGATGAGGCTGAATCTTCTACCAAACAAGAGTCTAATCCTAACAAAGATGACGATTTTTATCAAAATGAAGATGATTGTTTTGGAATAGACATACAAGAATTATGACCTATTCTGTAGAAACAGTTCCAGTTACATACCGGAACTATACAAACAGTATCTTAATATTTTCTTTATAAGGAGGCATCGACCATGTTGTGAGGTACCCTTTCATTCAGCAACATAGAGAGAAGTTCTAGAGAGAGAAGCTCTGAGTGATATTCATTGTAAGCCTATCTCTTCAGATCTTTCAATAAAATTTTGTTGTTTTAAGATTATCTTTCTCTCTTCTCCCTCTTAGTTGGTTCTGTTCGGACTACCGTCGTTCAGCTTTCTTCTCTTCTCCCTCCACTAGATCTGTGCTGGTTCTACCATCGTTCTAGTTTCTATGCATTAAATTATTTTATTTCTTTCTTCATATTATTTTTTTTCCATTTCATTTAGTAGTCCTGCTACTGCCTAAACCCAAAGAATATTTTACTACAAATAAGTTTGATATAACAAATATTTTCAAAAGACTAGAAAAGAATTCTAATATCAAACTAACCACTATTCAGGATCTCCAGATTGAGATTAACAATCTCAAGAAAGAGATTACAGAAATTAAAGAACAACAACAAATTCATCAAGTTATTTTTTCCCAACTAGATGATGAATTTGATATTGAGAAAGAAAAACTTTAGAGAGCGGTTAATAAAGAACCGCTCTCTAATATCATTCTTGGAGAGCGGTTAATAATTAACCGCTCTCTAATGTTATTAAAGTCATTTATAAATGAACACGCTTAACACATTTCTTCTTCTTAGCTAACAAAGCTAGTCTCCCTTACTGTAAGTTTTTTCTTTGCTCTCTTATGTTTTCTTCATCTTCTCTGTTAGCCTGCTCTCTTTGTCTTCTCTCACTAACAAATTAGTTTTTTCCCATCTGTAGGTATCTCTTCATTCTGTGTTAGTCTGCTCTCTTCGTCTTCTTTACACTAATTTTTCCACATCTGTAGGTACTTCTTGCTTCTTCTCTCTATTAACGGTGAATCATCCATTCTCTCTTTCTTTCTTTTTCTCTCTATTAATGTTAAAAATTATCCTATTAATTTGTTCTCTCTTGCTTACTTGTGTTTGGTTCATGCAAATGTGGACTGCTTGGTTAACACCAAATATATAAACTCAAGATTCAATTTTGATTTGCGATAAAAATGAAGAAAACTCACAAAGAAATCAATTCCAAATTTTGATTTAAACGTAATAATAAATTTTTATTTTGCAACAGAAAACTCAAAAAGAAATCAATTTCAAATTTCAAATTCACGGTCTACATTTATGCTTTGGAGAGCGGTTCCACGCGGAACCGCTCTCTAATCTTACACCTATACTTTGGAGAGCGTTCTGCCTAGAACCGCTCTCTAATCTTATACCTATACTTTGGAGAGCGGTTCCGCCTGGAACCGCTCCCTAATCTTAACATCAGATAGCGGTTGTTTAACCGCTCTCTTAAATATAATACATCAGATAGCGCAAAATTTTAGAGCAATTCTAAACGCTCTCTAATTCAAAACGGAACCGCTCTCAGATATCCATTTTGGCGTAGTGGATTTTAAATTTCTCTTAAATTTTTGTAGCATTTAGGTTTAACACCTTAAACTTAATTTCAATAAATAATAATTTCGCGAATTCGTAATAATAAAAGTTTCATAAAATATTTTGGAATAAGGGAAGTGTTACAAGTTAATATCAAATAATTACTACAGAACTAGTTCAATACAACATTTTCAAAATAAAATCTAAGTCCTGTAGCAGTTCATCTGTCCTTTTACTGAGTCTGGTACTGATTGTCTTGATTACCTGAAAAAGGAATGTAAGGGTGACTATTCTACACTACTCAAAACACAACAAGCATAAAGTCAAACCTTGCATATACTTCACACAATATAAACATAAACGGCATTTTCACACGTTTCATTTTAATTTATCATCGATACACTTATAGCACCAAACATTTATACACATTCGCGTGCTCACGGCACCCCGTCATGCTCACAGTGGCACTATAAATCATAGATTTTCACCATGAATGATCGCCGGTTACCCCCGTCTCACATATACCACGTGAGCAGTCACGGGTCGCTCAATAAAGGTAGTGGTCAGAAGTCTAGTCAGGAAGAGAGTGTGTGACCCGTGGTGCACCCAGTTCCACAATCGGTATCACCACCACTCTCTCTTCCCTAAGGTATTTCTACCATCCTCATTTTTCACACTCCCAGTGTATCGCTGAACCAGTCATAGCATATCACACCAGTGTTAATCACGCCCCATTCACACACATTACAATATTATTCATATTACACGGCACATAGCCCACATTTTATCCACAATACACGGCATATAGCCCTAATTTATTCAGAATAACATTAATTTCCCAATCAATAGCATTCCATCGCACACAATCACCCCTACGGGGTCTAACCATTCCAACACACATCACATTGCACATCAAATTCTATCAAACACACAATCTCTATCCTCTATCTCAGCCATATTGCAATAATCAACAAAATACACAAGAATCACAAAACATTGAGATAGGGAAGAGTCCTCCCTACCTCGAATCGAAGACCAACACGCTAAATCTACCAAGAAGCGCTCCCCCACACGAATTTTATCCTAAACATATGGAGAAACTCCATGAGAACCCAAGGAAACTGAGAAACAGAGAAAGGGGATGAAAAACAAAAATTCTAACCATTAAAACTCACCTCCAAGCGTTTTCCACACGAATTCAACCTTCAATCTAGCTCCCGAATGGCTTTGGAGGCAATTTAATCAGTAGAATAGGGTTTTGGGTCGAGAGAATCGAAGAGATTTGGAAGGTAAATAGGGAAATGAAATCTCAATCCCTAAACTCCCTTTGAAAACCCCTCTGGTTGCGACACTCTCGCTATAGCGACACACTCTCGCTGCAACGAGGCATCTCTCCCTACAACGACGCCCCCTGTTGCTACAGTGAAAATCTCAGACAAAATTACACCCTGGTTTCTGCAGAATCTCGCTACAGTGAGACTGCACCCAAAAATGCACCCCAAATTGTTACTTTGTCGCTACAAGAAGACACTCTCGCTATAGCAAGAGCTCCCTACACCAAGCACTTAGCCTACTTTCAGCCCAACCAGTCCAATCCAATCAATCATACATACATATATATATATATAAAATTCTAAGGATGCATGGGTTAGTGGTAACTCAAGATGGATTGTGATCCAATACATAAAGGGTTTAATAATTGATGCCAAAGGAGGAATAATCGATGGCTATGGTTCTTCTTGGTGGCACTACAAAAGTTGCAAACGACCCACGGTATAATAATTCCAAACTTTGTTCTCCCACAATTAATTAGTTTACATTTTAACATAAAAAATATTTTAAAAACAAAATTATTAGAACAATTACCTGAAGATTCAGCCAATGAATTATGATTTTTTACTAGATTTTTCATGTGGATGTGATGCAGGCCTTGCGTTTCCATGGTTGTAATGGTCTTACAGTAAAATATCTAAGGAATATCAACGGCCCTGGATCTCACATATCTGTGAATGGTTGCGAGGGTGCAAAATTCTCTCAAATCAATATTCATGCTCCTCAAGAGAGTCCCAACACTGATGGATTCGACATTTCCGCTTCCAAAAATATCTTGATACAAGATTCTACTATAGGAACTGGTATACCAAGCTTTCATCTTATGTATCAAATTTCAACCTAATATTTTTAAATCAGCTTAATACTACTTAGCACTTTTAGAGCATTGATTAAAAAATTAAATTAAAAATTACTTCTTAAAAATATTATTTATAATTTTTTAAAATCAATTTTTATTATGTTTTTTTAACTAACTGATAACTCTGAATATTAATTTTTTGACTTTTTTTTATGAGAAATCATTATTGATAATTTAAATTATTTATAAAAAATTACATCTTATTTATTATCAGATTTATTTTAAAAATATATTTATCTATTATCAGTACAAGTGCATATATGTATATAATTAAACCCTGCATTTGGAAATAGGTGATGATTGTATTGCCATCAACGGTGGCTCCTCTTACATATCTATTGTTGGGGTTGCTTGTGGACCAGGCCATGGAATAAGGTCTATATATACAAATTTTATCATAGTTTCTATTGCGTTCATTTTTATAAAATAGACCTAACAAAGTATTTTAATTAAATATATTGAAGTGGTATCCTCAATTTATATCATATATATGTGAAAAAAAAAAGTTGAGTGTGCCATGGAATTATCACATAAATGAGTCTTGACATGAAACTGTTTTGATATTGATATTTTTGTTAATATAATTTTGTGATTCCTAATTTTGACACTTCTCATCAAATTTGTATGAATCAATCATTATTGGCAGCCTTGGTAGAAATCAAGGTCATGAGACAGTTGAAGAAGTTCATGTACGAAATTGCAGCTTCACAAGGACCACAAATGGAGCAAGAATCAAGACATGGCCAGTGAGTAAATAAGGGAAGAATAGTTTGAGGGATAGAGTAATATGCTATTTTTTAACATACTTTTCGCTTAGGAGTGAAATTTATGTAAGTTTAATTAAATAATAAATAAAATTTATTAAAAAAAGAAGTGAGACTATATTATTTAATGATTTATATATTTTTTAAATAATTGTTATTTATTAAAAAATTATCAAGTGTTGAATTTTTTTAATGTAGTCTTTGTTAACAATAATAAATTATTAATTTAAATTTAAAAATTTATACTAATAAAAAATATTATAGTGACATTTGATTATATACATTAATAGTTCTACTAATAAAAGTATTTATTGGTATAACATATCATATCGTTATTATAAACTCATAACGTTTATATTAATATTTTTATTTTTATTAAAAAATATTAATAATAGCTAATCTAACATTAAATTACTAATAAATGATATTTTTATATTAATGTGAATTTTATTACTCAATAACTAAAATTTTATTATCAAAGAAGTGTTATTAGAATTTCGATAACATAAAAGGATTATTTGTTCACTTTATCTCCCTAACCCTATGTTAATATTTTGCATGTATTATTTATGCAGGGTGGATCAGGTTATGCAAGAAGGATCATTTTTAAGCAAATAAAACTAATAGATACTCGTAATCCAATAATTATAGACCAATACTATGGACATAATATTTCAATGGTATACACTTTGATTCTATATTAATATTATATATTATGATTTTAATTTTGTTCATTTCTTGTTTATTGCTTAATTACTACCACTGTGTTTTGAATTTGAGGAAAATAGGATGCAGCGGTGAAAGTGAGTGATGTGATTTATCGAGGGTTTAGTGGAACTTCAAGTGATGCCAAAGCTATTGATTTACAATGTAGTAAATCAGGTTGTTTCAATATCATATTGAATCAAATCAATATAGTCTCTGCTGAACAAGGAAAACATGCCTATGCATCTTGCAAAAATGTCCATGGAATCGTTATATCTGCTATTCCAAATGTCTCTTGCTTGTTGAATTGAATTCCCACAATATTTCTAAGTGTTTTCATTGGTAAATAATTTTTAGGGAGTAGCAGTTTTACATTTTAAGATATATTTACCTTGTAAGTTTGTTAGATTAGCTCAAAAATATATTAATACTTTGTCAAATAATTATATTTATAATTAATTATTATGATAATTGGTTATAAAGTAAATTTTATATTTCGATAATTAGATGAAAAGGGGTTTTTGTTATGTAGAAGAAAAGTTATTGTAAAATAATTTATTGTGTTTGATTTTATAAAATATTTTTTTGTAGGTTAATATACAAAAGAGGATATAAAATTATGTGTTGTAATTTAGTCTAGTGTTTGAAAAAAAAATTAAAAATAAAATGGGAAAATAAAAATTAAGTAAAAAATGCTAACAACTTTTAATAATAAGATCTAAAATTTATTTATTTTATGTTGGAATCAAGTATGAATTGAGTCCCGCATAGAATGAAATGAGTAAGTTAGGATCTATAAAAAGATAAAACCATACACTCATCATCTTAAGATTTTGAGGTTGCATTGTGTTGTCCTATTTACTGTGAAGTTCCTTACCTATAAAACTTCTCCACCCCACTCTCGAATCAAAGATAATTAATAAAATCAATCTCATCAAAACATTCACTAAATCAATAAAATATACAATGTTATAATATAAAATAAAAAGTATACAAAGGAAAGCAAGCAAATCATGAACTTTTATATTAATGCATATACAGAGGTGTTTATAGAGGTCCAAAGCAACTAATTTGGTGAAGTGTGTATATCCACGGATCAAGATTCTTTCATTTTGGCAGGAACTAGATATTAAGTTCCATTTTTACTTAAGTGAAAATGTAGAAAATAATAAATTATTTTTTATATGCAAAATTAGCTTAAGTGAATTATTTTAACTTAAGCGAATTTTGTGTTTTCTCTTTCAATATTCTCTTTTTCTTCTCATGCCTAACACTTCCTCCTCAACTTTCATATTCAACCCTTTTTAGCCTTTGTATTCAACCTTCTTCCTTCTCTCATACCCAACTTTTCTCTTCATCTCCTAACTCCCTCTTCTCTCTACTCCATGCTCAATTCCTTTCTTCCTCATCTCACTCTCACCCTATCCCATACCTATATCTCCCTCTTTCCTCCATATCCAACTCTCCAACCTCCTCTCCCTCTGCCATCATTCATATACCATCTGCTCCCCTTATCTTCATTCATCCTTAGTCCTCTCTTTCCCTTACACCTAGCCTTCATCTCCTCTAATGCACAAAATTCGCTTAAGTCAAAATAATTCGCTAAAGCAAATCTGCAAAAATTCGCTTAGGCTAATGTTTTGTAAAATATTTTTTTTCATTTTCTGTATCTTTGCTTAAGCGAGTCTATTTTCACTTAAGCAAAAATAGAACTAGATGTCCAATTCTCACCAAAACTGGAGGAAATCAGGATCCGTATATCCACCTATACTATAAAGTCATAAATATGAAGCAAAAAAACATCTTCAACCAATATTATTATTGTGATCGTATTGTAATAATAGGATTTTAAATAAAAATTAAGGAAAATATTTTAAATTATTTTAAAAATAGATTGGCACCTTTCTGTTACACCAATCAAATTGTGATACATCAACCAATGAATCCATGTAAGTTGAGCTAATCACGAAGGAAGTATTTATAGTAACGATTTACATAAAAACAGTGCCTTAGTTATATTGGTACATGATTGTGAATTAAAATTTTAATTAAAGATTAAGAAAATTCAAAAGTGAACATCCTAATTTGTAATTTAAAATAAAAAATTAAGGTTTAATTAGGTTTTTGTTCCCTATAAATATTGGGTATTTTGTAATAAGTTTTTATAAAATTTTATGTTATGATTTAGTCCTTAAAATATTAAGAAGTTAGGATTTAGTTTCCGCTATCAACTTATCTTTGTTAAGTACTTCACGTGGCATGTCATGTCATTTATTATATAATATTTTATTATTTAAAATAAATATTTACAAAATAATCTTTGAACATATTTTATATATTTGCAAAAAAAAAATTCTTCTTTCTTTCTTAACCCCTTATCAACCTCACCACCATCAACTCCTAACTCGCTCAGTGATAGCCCCACCTCCCCCCACCCAAACCTTTAGTTTCACCCCTTTCCCTTTCCTCTAATTCCACCTGTTCTCCTTTCTCTTTCTTACACCCTCGCCCCCACTCCTTCCCCACACTCTACCCTCCTTATTACTCCTTTCCATTCTTCCCACCTACACCACCCCTTTTATTACCCTTTTCTATTTCTCTCACTTGCACCACCCCTTCTCATTCCTGCTACCCCCTCACTCACCCTTTTCAATTCCTTTTACCTGCACTACCCTCACCTCCTCCCCTTCCCTCCACCTCAACTTTTTCCCCACTATCCCACTCACACCCCTTCCCTTACCTCACCCCCACTATCCCACTCCCACCCTTTCTCTTTCCTCACCCCCAACTCCTCTCCTTCCCCTTCTATTACCCCCACTCTGCATCTGCACTTCTAACTTGTGTCCCACTTTTTTGTTATGAAAATTGTGTTTGTGTTTCAAATTTTAAGGAGTTGTGTGAAGGCTCTATGTTGAGTGATGGAAGATTGATTTGAAACGTGTACAAAGTTTAAAAATGAATGATCTCAATATGGGGTGGAGAGAGAGAGTTTAATGACAAAGTTGAATTATGGGTATGGTGAGAGAGATATGTGTGAGATTAATGAAAATAATGCAATGAAAAATGAAAACATGTTGATGATTTTTAGTTTTAGCTAAAGGAAACTTTAGAAAAGAAAAAAGGAACAAAGCGGAAAGGACATGGGAAGGGTGGGTCAGTAGTAAAGAAGGGGGAATGGAAGGAGAAGGAGAAAGGGACTTCATTGTAATTATGTAAAATATGTTCAATGACTTATTTAAAAATATTAAATATAAAATTAAATGATATGACATGTCATGTGACACTACATGACTTTCTATTTAACAGAGAAAAGTTGACAACAGAGACTAAATCTTAATTTTTTAACATTTTAGGAACTAAATACTATAAAAAAAAATTTACAAAGACATCTCAAAATGCTTAATATTTATGTGGACCAAAAATATAATTAAACAAAAAATTAATAATATAACTATGTAAATAAAAAAAACTCATAACACATAGTTATCTAATTCAAACTATGTCTTTCACGATTCATCATCACAAACTACAATTAAGAATTAATGAAGTTGCATACGATTATGCTACAACGTCAATTCAAACAAACATGTTTATTAATTTACATAATACAAACTAATAAAACTTAAAAAAAGTGTCAAGAATAATATTCTTTAGATAAATAAAAATGCAAAAGAAAAAAAATGCATGGATAACACTTTTTCTTTTTCATGGACAGGTAATGCTAATCACCTAGCACATTGGCAACCATGTACACTCAGTATTGTTAATCATTGAAGATTTGTGGATTGAATTTGATCTCTTTGCCACATACGTAAGAAATGTAATTAGGACTATTCTCATTCAGATATATGTTGGCAAAGAATTCTTCAGTAATCTTAACATATCACTTTCCTCCCAAAGTACTTTGATGTGAGACAAAACCATTGCTCATGTACTTTAGATTTAAACTAGGATGAGTCAAATTTTTGGGTTCCTTTGAAATTAGCTATGTATAGGGAGGATTCAAATCCTCTCCCATTGTAATGAAAACTGGACATCTAATTTCATTTTCATTTAAGCAAAAATAGAAAAAAGTGATATTTTTTTACACAAAATTTGTAACATCCTCATTTTTGCTCTCTTCCATGTTCACGTGTGTAATGCGATTTCTCTTTTTTTCTCAAAGACAATTCAATGTGTTTTACGAAATTTTATGACTTTGGTTAAAGAAGTTTTGATATAAAAGTATTTATTTTATTTTGTGATTCGTCAGTATGTGTTTGATAGAAATGGATCTCAATGTTTTGGATTATTTAGAAATCACGTAATTATATTGAGTTCCAAATGCTATATGCACTAGCAGAGACAGTGAAGTAGTAGAAGGGTTAGTCCTTAGTCAGAAGTTGGAAGTCTCTGGTTTCAAAACCTCAGCAAGATAGATTTTGCTTCAACAAGTTTTTTTGTAGTGAATAACGAAATAACCAGACTGCCCTCAAAATATCATGTATACATGAGATAGGTGGCAAAACCATAAGATAGGTGGCGATAGGTGGCAAACCCTTACATGCGTGATGACATGTGGCAGCCACGTGTCAAAGAAGGAAAAACCCTTGTATGCGTGACGACATGTGGCAGCCACGTGTCAAAGAAGGAAAAGCCTTTGTATGCATGATGCCATGTGTTGAAGAAGGAATAAGCCCTTGCATGCGTGACGCCACGTATCAGCCACATGTCGAAGTAGAGAAGCCCTTGCATGTGTGACACCATGTGGCAATAAGGATGGCAACGGGTAAAGTACCCAATGGGCACCCGCAAAATTTACTCACAATGGATAAAGTATTTACCCACTATATGGGTACGAGTATGGGTGTGGGTAAAAACTCGCAAATTTTAATAGGGATGGGTGTGGGCATGGTTATCTAAGTACCCACCCTGCCCCGAACCCGCATATATATATATATATATATATATATGCTTGAACTTTATTATATAATTATGCATTGAATTTTTTTATTATTATTGTCACAACCCCAAGGACAATGTCATAAACATAACCCACTAAATCTCAGCAATACACAGTAATCACCCTTAATTAGGTATTCATGGATAATCGTCAAAAGAAATTAACATGTATTAATTGAAAATAATCCTTAAGCAATGTAAGTATTACAAAATATGACTTAGTTTGTCATTACAAATAATAATTACAGCAAAAGACTAATACATGAGAAAGTCCTAACGTAGCCTAATGCCTAATCCTCCACTTCTCCATCAGCTACTCTGGTCAGCTTGGGAAGCCGAAGCCTCACCTGCCTGATCTGCTCACGTACCAAGATACGATCATCGCAACACAACATCACAACAACAACAATTACAAGGGTGAGCTTACAAAAAGAAACAACATATCAAAGTAGAATAATCTCAGTAAATCCACAAGAAACAGCAAATGCATCCCAGCCCAGCTCATGCTCATGCAGCAATGAGAAACAGTATCCATCTGGCCTTTAACAATACACTCAGCAGGTCTAGAGGAACTGTGCCGGTCCGGGAGCGACCCGTTCCGGTATCTGGATCCAGATAGTACAACTCAGCTTTCTAAAGTCACATGACTACCCACCTAGCATGTGACACAGCGCCTATTATGACAGCCCTATTCAGCTCTAGTATGATGCAGAAATCAACATATTAATAATTTCATCAATTACATGAATAGAATTTAACAACAGCTCAGCTCATTCGACATTTTAGCAATAGTATTTATGTAACAATTCAGCTAATTCAGTAATTTTCAGCAAATACAGTATTGTTATCTCAGCAAACAGCCCAGCAATTTCAACTACACGGTATATTCGGTAACATTGGGTCATCTTTCCTAGGGTTTTCACAGCATACAACCACCATACTCTATCATTCGGCTATCAAATTACTTCTCCTAGAGTTCAGCAACAATCAATCACATCAACATAACAATTTCATTCCAAAAATGCAGCTCTAACTCTCTCCTAGCACCTCTCATCACTCATAAATCATCAAAACAACCTAGGGCAAGCTCCCCTTACCTCAATCCGATATTATACAAGGTACTCTCGGTTATTCAAGCCTAGAATCCACAAGAACTTCCCTACAAACGCATCAAGAAATCCCAAAAGGAGACCATAGAACTTACCTAAAATGGCTTTAATCACTCCCCTCGACCTAGAATCATGCAAGAGGTCAAGGTTTTCTAGTGATTTGGGGCGGGAATCGACCGAAAAAATGCAAAGGGAGGAGAGAGGGATCGAGGGTTTTGAAATAACCCTCGCGCAGCTCTCTAAGAACCCTTAAATACAATCTGAAACGCGACACTCTCGCTATAGCGACATGTTCTCGCTGCATCGAGAAAACCTCGTTGTCAAGAAGAAAGACAAGCGAAGGATTTTTCGCCAATACTTCTAACACATTTTTGCCAACAAGATCGAACAACGTCAAAAAAAAGACATCAAGCTGCACATCAATTCCAACACCGGTAAGAGGAAGGGGTTAGATAAAGTGGGTAGTAAAGAGGAAGAGGAGAGGGATGGGGTGATGGAGTGGGTAGTGGGGAGGCCCCCTCATGATATGCACTTGCTTGTATAGTGAAATGGACATGTAGATAGATATCCATCTTCCACTTGGCCTTCAAATAGGGTGTTGAAGGGAGGTGAGTACTTGTGGTTAGACCACTTTTTCAGCAAAGGTTTGGATCTTAAGAAAGTGTATGCACCTTTGATTGGGAAATTGGGGTACAAGAAAGTGAAGTGGACGACGGGGAATAAAATCGATGCTGGTGGTGTCAAGAATGGGGAAGTTTACTTGACTACATTGTTGCAGAAGCCTATGTCTAGATGAGGTTATGCACAAAGGTAAGAACTTTTAATCTCTAATTTCACACTTGAGAATTTGTTGTCTCACAAGCTTCAAAGTTTTGATGGGTAATTATTGACAAAATTGAAATTTGCGAGTGATGGGGTGTGGGGAGGAAGAAGGTTTAGGATTAGGGTGGAGTGGTTACGGAAAGTGAAGAGGGAGAGGAGTTGATTGAGGAAGAAGAAGGGTTTAATTAATTAATAAAAAATAAAAAATTTAAATAACATGGCAAGCCACGTAGGCTGTGACTAGGCTTCTACGTGGCGTCATGTGGAGTGCTGAGTTGGCGGAGAGCCAGCTCAGCACTTAACAGAAGGGGGTTAACGGTAGGGACCATTTCCTAATTTCCTACTTTAGAAGGACCACTTCCTAACAAAAATATTTGTAGGGACTAATCACAAAAACGCCTATATTTATGGGGACTAAAAACATAATTAAGCTAATTTAAATATTATCAACAAATAATAAGCTTACGGTAATAGTAGGTGATTGTAAAATTTATAAAATATTTATAATATATTTATTATTTATCATTCACTTTATGATTTAAATATTAATATAATTTTATTAACAAAAATATTTGTGTAAAAAATAGTTTATATGTGTGTCATATATAAATAATATTTTTTTAAAAAAGTCAATATTATATTAATTGTGTAATAATTAAATTGTATTAGCCTAATTAAATGATATAAAATAGTAAATAATTTTTTTTTATTAAAAATATAAACCAAATTTTTTGGTTTACTTTATTATTAAATATATTTTTATATTAATCTTATATAACTTCACATAAGTAGTATAATAATATAAAAATTTAATATATAATTGTAGAATAAAGTTCAAGCGTATATATATATATATATATATATATATATATGCGGGTATGAGGCAAGATGGGTACTTATATACCCATATTCGCACTCATTCCCATTAAAATTTACGGGTGTTTACCCATTCCCATACTCGTACCCATGAAACGAGTAAATACCCTACCCATTATGGGTAAATTTTGTGGGTGCCCATCAGATACTTTATCCATTGTCATCTCTACCTAAGTAGGATTCAAACCTATGACCATCAATTAATAGTCAACCGCTCTACCAATAAGGTATTGAGGAACAACGAAAAATTTTATCTTAGAGTTCAATTTCCATTCTCAACCCATGAACAATTATGAGCGCAAATTTTTCTTTTGTAATCCATGGAACTTCTTCGTAGTAGCTCCATTCCATGCCTCATTTTATAGGGAACCTCAAAGTGGCACTATTTCATTATATTCCACCCATATGCTAATTCCATTCATTTAATATCTCCAACTTTAGTGTCATTGTGATAATATATATATATATATATATATATATATATATATTTGAAAAATTATTATATAATAATCTAAAAATTGCAATAGAAAAGAAAAAAAGAAGTTTGTGATGATTTTTTAATCTTTTATATTAGATAATCTAGTATCCTTATGCATAAAGATAATTAATTCTGTCATTGTGGTTGGATTCTATTATGAATTTCTAACCATATTCTTCACAAAGTTATCTTATCTCTTCCTTCTTCGAGCTTAAGTTACGAAAGAAAGAATCGAAAAGAAAATATTAAAAATAACTGAATTTATTATAGGACAGTTCATGATGTTCATATCAATCTATTATGTGTCCTTATATTTAGCATTGAGTAGACCTTATTCAGTAACTTCCATAACTTTATCATATCTTTTATTTCAGTTGTTTAGCAATAATTACAAAAAGATTTGAATTATGGATACAAAAATTCAAATTCAATACATAATGTTAAGTATTCAAATAATAATTTTTAATAATCTTATTTTTCTACTTACAATTTGATTAATGAGATACTTGTCATTAATTTTTATAATATATATTAAATTTTTCATTATTCAAATCGTAAACATTTTTGTTTTATTTTATTTTCTTATAACATGTAATTTTATCATTATTTACCAATTTTATATATTTAAAATTTTCAAAAATTATTAATTATTTATAGATTTTATAAGTTTTAAACTCCGACGACTACACAGAAAAGTCACAATAATTAATGGGTAACATGGCTCCCCTTTATTGTAAATTTATAATATTAGATTGAAGATAAGAGCAAAGCATTGAACCTGGATGGTTTGAGTGTGGTGACATGGCTAATTACAAAAGTGTCCCTGGGCAGATATAAGAGCAATAATGTTCATGCTCATGCTGCAGCCATTGCGAATCTCAAAATGAAAACAGTGCAGAACTATTTTCTTCTTCAGCAATCATTATAAGGTATTCAAAAGTGACGCACCTAATTCTTATAAAATCAATTTTATGTGTTCGCTTGCATTGTACATAGACAAATCAGGTATTAGCAACGGATCCGGATTAACATATTAAAATTAACAGTAATAAATTATAAAAATTCATTATCAACAAGCATCTCAATCAATTTGAAAAAAAGTTAATTTAACTTAATATATAATCTCAAAATTATAGACGTTGTTTAAATTTTTTAACTACATTAAATAATTATAAAATGATGACTAAAAGATGAGGCATTAGCTGTCAATATGAGTTATAATAATGCGCATAACTTTTTAACTCGACGACGACTCCGCAGCAAAGAAAAGCAGAACCGACCAGTCACAATAATTAATCTCAACTTTTGATTAAATTATTATTATATTTATAATATTAGATCGAAGATAAGAGGCGGAGCAAGCATTGACCGTTCAGACATAGAAAAGATGGTTTCAGTGAGATAGCTAATTACAAGTGTGTCCCTGTGATGGGCAGATATAAGAGCAATAGTGTTTGTGCTGCAGCAATTGCCAATCTCAAACTGAACACAGTGAAATCTCTTCTCCTCATCAGATCTAAGGAATATGGAAAACGTTCCATTTGCTGTTGCGTCTAATCTCATTCACAGGTTCCTTTTTCCACCCTTTCTTCAATTTCAACAATAACTATCCATTTTTTAATTCTTCCATAACTTGCTAAGCTTACAGTTTAGGTTTTTTTTCTTTTTTTCCTATTTTCTTAGTTTCCCTATTTTTATGTCTAACAATTTAATATAGTGTGTCATGATAAAAAAAATAAATTAAAATTTACTTTCAAATTAATTAAATTTAAAAAATAATATTTAAACTTAATGAAAAGATAAATATAACAAAATTAATATAAAAGAAGCTAAACAAGTAAATATAAAAAAAATTTCAAAGTACTCTTTTACTCGAGAATGAACACAGACTGGTGCACACAAGAGTTCATATGATACGGAGTTACAATAAATTACTTTCTATCATAATTTTTATGAGATCAACATTAATAAAAATTAATTGTGTTATAAATTAATGTTACGTTGGAAAAATGTTCCTCGAATTATATATTACATCCTATTCTATTAGGGGATTACATTAATAATAATATTTTAATAAAATATCTTAAACAAGAAGGTTTTGGAGTGATAATTGATCTAAATAAAATATCTTGTACTGTAATTATAAAAAATAAATATCTACTTTTAGATGTGTCGTGCATATGGAAATTATGAATTGTAAGGATTTGTAACTGAGCCGGCCATGAACAAATCATGATTCAATCAATTGAATTTGATCATGGCCGAGAATGAGTGCACACAAGTGACAAGACAATTCATGTTCTCCCTTTTCCTCGATACTTATGCCAATATTTTTACACATTGCTCAAATTATGATTCTATGTGGTCTTTCTTTATCATTTTAAAATGACTGAGTCAGTTCCATTTGCTGTTACTTCAAATCTCAGGTTGGCTTCCGCAGATTTTCTTGAATTTGGAAAGCATTATGATGTGACGGAAGAGTTGGAAGAGCTCAAGAACACTATTGAATCCATCAATGCTAAGCTCCTTGATGCCGACGATAAACAAGATCAAGATGATGGTGTGCGAGTTTGGATCAGAAGGTTCAAAAAAGTACTCCATGCTGCAGATGACTCCTTAGATGAGCTCGCTATCCAATTCAGGAGAGACAAATTGGGTGCAGCAGAAGGAAAAGAAGTAGACAAGGTACTTCTTTCCATTTCATCTTCAAATCAACTTCCTTTATACACTGAAATGCCTGACAAAATTAAAGAAATACGAGAAAGTTTTGATGGTGTAGTAGAAGACATGGATAAATTGAATTTAAGCCCAGGTTCTCTGGTTAAGCAAACTAACAGTGAATGGAGGGAAACATGTTCTTTTGTGCTAGAATCTGATATCATTGGAAGAGATGATAGTAAAAAGGAGATTATTAGTCTGTTGAGACAGCCTCATGAAAACCGAAAAGTTTCTGTGATTGCTATTGTTGGCCTCGGTGGCTTGGGGAAGACAACGCTTGCTCAGTTCGTGTATAATGACTTGGAAGTGCAGAATTTGTTTGAAATGCAAATGTGGGTGAGTGTCTCTGATAACTTTGATGTGAAAACTATTCTGAAGAAAATATTAGAATCAATTACTGATGGCCAAAGACAAGACCAATCATTAGAGAATTTGCAAAAAGAGCTTCGTAAAAGTTTAAGTGGTAAGAAATATTTGTTGGTCCTGGATGACATTTGGAATGATAGTCATGACAAATGGGCTAAATTGAGAAAGTACCTGATGTGTGGCGCTCAAGATAGTAAGATTTTAGTGACAACCCGAAGTGAAAGTGTAGCGAAGGCAATGACAGCTAGCCCTTCCTATCCTTTGAAAGGTTTGACTGATGAAGCATCTTGGACTTTGTTGAAGAGCATTGCATTTGAGGATGATTTCAAAGGAGTGAATCAAAATCTAGAATCAATGGGGAAAGAAATAGCCAAAAAATGTAAGGGGGTTCCACTAGCAGTTAAAACCCTGGGAGGCCTGTTAAGAAGACAAAACGAAGAAAGTGAATGGGAGAATGTTATACTTGGTGACGTCTGGAAATTATGTGAAGAGCAAAATAGTATTATGCCAATTCTAAAACTTAGTTACCGCAACTTGTCGCGAGAAATGAGACAATGTTTTGCTTATTGCTCTTTGTACCCCAAGGATTCAAGAATTCAAAAGGATGAGTTGATTCAGTTATGGATGGCACAGGGTTACCTTAAATGTTCAACTGAAAAACAGTACATGGAGGATGTAGGTAATCAATTTGTAAAGATGTTTTTGATGAACTCATTTTTTCAAGATGCGGGTAGTGAATACGGTGTGATCATTAGCTTCAAAATGCACGACTTAATGCATGATCTTGCAATGCTTGTTGCTGGCAATGATTATTGTTACTTGGATAGTAAAGCAGTAAAAGTTGAAGGTAGACCCATGCACGTATCATTGGAATCCGATGAGACCATTCATTTGTTGAAATCATTAGATCTGAGCAGGCTGCGAACTTTGATTTTGCCGTTTTCCTTGGGAGAGGAGGAATTTTCTGTTGCTAATTTTAAATACTTACGCGTCTTGAGGATATCATCATTTTCCTTCTTCAAATTGTCTGATTCATTTGGAAAATTGAAGCATTTAAGATATCTTGACATAACTGATTGTTACTCTCTGAATGGGATGCCAGTTGGGTTAGGAAAGTTGTGCTCTTTGCAATTCTTATCGACCTTTGTTGTGGGAGACAGCCAAGAAATAAAATGTGGCACACTAAATGAACTGAAAGACTTAAACCTAATAAGAGGCAAATTAAGAATTCAGCCTCTCGATCGTGTCAGAGAGGTGGCTCTGGAATCACAGGACGTAAATTTAAAAGAAAAAAAACTCCTTCAATCCTTGACTCTGGATTGGTGGCTTTATGGAGACTTCTGTAACAGCGACAGCTTGCAATTATTGGAAAACCTTCAGCCCCACCATAATCTTAAGCGATTGGAGGTGAATCATTATCCAGGCGTGCTTTTCCCAAATTGGCTCTCTCTTCTGACCAATGTTGTTCACATCCGTCTCTATAAGCTTTCTAAATGCCGCTGTCTCCCTCCGTTGGAACGTCTCCCGTCCCTGAAGTCACTTGATATATTGTTTCTTCATGAATTGGAATACATATATCTCTGCGAAGATGGCTTTGCAGTAACCGTCTTCCCCTCTTTGGAGAGCCTCACCTTAGAAGGTTGTCGGAAGTTCAGGGGATGGCGGAGGCGGGGAGATGATATCAATGATTCACACAATCTTTCCTTACCTCTTTCATTTCCTCATCTTTCTCGGCTGGAAGCCTCTAAATGTACACAGTTGACTTGCATGCCTACTTTTCCAAATGTTAAGGATTTAAAATGGTACAAATGCGGTGAGGAGCCATTAATAGGAACACTAAACACAACATGTTCAGCTGACTCATCTTCCTCCGCTGCTCCTCTTTCCATGCTCAAAAAATTAAACATATCGGATCCTATGAATTTACCAAAGGGTTGGATGCAAAATCTGACTTCTCTCGAGTCTCTTTTTATTAGATCTGAAAGTGAAACACTTGAGGTATTTGAAACTGGGTTCAAGGACGACACCAACTGCCTTCCTTCTCTGCGACAAATTTCATTCTATTATTCTAGAAACCTAGAGGCTTTGCCAGATTGGATTTGCAACCTCTCATTGCTTCAGCGTATGTCAATCGTACGCTGCCGAAATCTGGCATCGCTGCCCGAAGGAATGAGTCGTCTTACCAACTTAAAGATCTTTGAGGTCTACCGTAGTCCCCTCTTACTTAAAGAGTGCCGAACAGAGACAAGTGATGTTAGTCGCCAAATCGCACACATCCCACAAATTATCCTTACTGATTGGTGATCATAAAGGTATTGATCTGATGCATATTTATTCCGTGTAAACGTTGTGTATTGTATTTGCTTTGCTAATAACATACTTTTAACTAGTTTTTGAGTTAGTGTTCATTTGTTTCAAAGACAAAATACAAATTATCCTAATCATATTAATTTTCAATTGTTAAACAATACTGGAGTCTCTGTTTAAATTGATATTAACCATCATATATTTAATGCTAGTAAGTTTTTTGGCATTATTAAAAATATAATATTTTAAAAAATTAAAATTATTATATAATTAATAAAATTTATACATATTAATATATAAATATTTATTTTTTAATAATAATATTCTATTATATTAAATAAGATTAAATCAAAAAGATATTTTGAAAATTAAAAACTAATTAAAAAATATTTAATATAAAATTTAACTTAAGACCGAATAAAAAAAAATTAAATGTTAAATGCATAAAAAGTCATGTGACATAATAAGAAAGATAACTAATGCTTAAAAACTTTCTCATTTAAAAATTAGGACCCAAATTATAAAGGTATTTACATGCTAGGGAATTGATTATTGTTGTAAAACAAATATATTGGGTTCCTTTTACTTCATAATGTAAAAATAAATTGATGTTTTGTGTAGTTTCAATTTCTGTTTACTTTTTACAAGTTTTTTAGACATACATTCTTAATTTTGAATTGAAGGTAAATTTTTAATTTTAGTTTTATCATATGAAGACTCGTTGTTTTAATATTTACAGGTGAAAATGTAAAGGAGAAGAAAAAGAAATGTTGGATATTGAAGGCTTCCTAAAAATTGTTAGATTTCTGTAATGTTGAAAACCACTTATAATAGAACAACTGTATTTCTTTTTTATACCGTTTTGATTTCACATTTCGGTGACTTGTTGGTCATTAGTTATTTCATAGCAACTCTCAAGTGTTAAATTATAAGAATATTTTCAGGATCTATCATATCAAATGTCAAAAAAGTAAGAGGTGTACGTACATTACCTAGTAGCTAGCTCTCACTTAAGTTCTCAAAATAAAAGGCAGAGATCTCAAGTTGGACAACATTTAACATTAACGTATTGAAATGGAATCATCCTATTTAGTATCCATGTTTTTCTTTTATTAAGCCTGGTATTTTAAAATTTATAATCAAGAAAGGAAATTCTTTTATTATATCATGTAATTTAATATTTATAATCTAGATCTCCTAATTAGTAATTTAGGATGATATGGAGTTGATACTAGTGCATTGAAGTCTGCAATTAGTAAATGAAATATATAAAAGCAACCAATTTTAGAGTAGTTGTTTGTTAGTGTATATATTTTCTACAAAGAAAGGTAATAAAAGGGACCTAAAGGTATGTTATAAGTACTTATATCATAGTTAATTAGGTGTTCTTTTAGCTTTTGTTTTTGCACTAAAGTGATAGTCAAATCCTTGAATCTAGCCCAGTTTACTAAGATTATAAGATTATAATAGTTGAGTTGTTGTTGGTATAGGCAAATTTTGCATTGGGGTCATGTTAAAGGTAGTTCTTTTCATTATTCATTTCAAGACTTGTTTGAGTTGGGTAATGTGAAAGGTTATGATAAAAACTACTCTTTGAAAGGCAAAGTTGAAGAAAGTGAACCGGATACTGCCACCAATGTTCTATTGGGACTCTACAAGAGAAAATATGCAGGTTATCCTTTTTTCTTTTTTTCTATACTTTCATCTTGCTTTTTTCCAGAGTCACCTTTTTTTAGTTCACTTGGTTATCAAAATGTTTCTGTTATGGTAAGGTTTTTGGGATTACAACATAGAGAATGCGTAGTGTTACTCTGTATTGTGTTGAAATTGAACTTTTTTATTAGAAAAATAGGAGTATTATGAATTAAATTTCTAATTGTTTGGTCAAAGAGACTTTAAAGAATGTGACATATCGTGGGTTTCAAGGAATGTCTACAGATGACAAAGCTATTAACTTAGATTATTCCTCATCGGGTTGTTTCAACGTTGTATTTGGATCAAATTAACATTGTCTATGCTAAACCAAGAAGGAGTATCTATGCTTCTTGCAAAAATGCTCATGGAACATTTAACTCTGTTATTCCAAGGGTCTCTTTTTTATTGAAATAATCTTTTTAAGAGTTAAATTTTTAAACCATTAACTCTTTTGTTCCAAGAGTCCCTCGTATTTGTAAGATGGAAATCATGGATACTACGATAGTTTTTTATATTTTTATGTGATATTATCTTATTGTAATTTCGTCCATGATTTTGGGATGGCCATGTAATTCGTATGAGATTCATTTTGGCTTTGTTTCACTTCTCTAACCAAAACTATACCATTAGTTTATTGTTCATCAAGTTGCATTCCAGTGGAGTTTATGTTCTCTTGCATTTGAAGGTAGTGTGTGGGCTTATCAAATGTTATTTACATCCCCGAATTGTACTCACAAGTGCAGATGAATACTAGCAAATCTACTCTTTAACGCTAGAAACTTTGAAAGAATTTTGACAATGGACAAAAGAAAAAATTTATACAAAGAAAAACATACAAAATTTGTTAAGACTATGCAAAGGTTTTATTAATAAAACAAAAATTCAAGCACTCATATTATGTCCAAAACGTTAGTACATTCGATTCCTCGCATAACTCAACTATGGATTTTAGGGATTGTACACAATTCTTATTCAGAAGCCTTACAAAACACTCACAAGGAAGTTCACACTTTGTTCTTGGACATAACTTTCCTTTTATAGCATAATTCTGCCACCTATCATAATTAAGCAGAGAAAAAATTGTGTTAATTAGTAAGCTTTATATTTCAACTTGCAATTACATACGGATTATCATGTAGAAGTTTAATCAAACTGAGTCAAAAATTGAATTGGGTAGTGCAACTGGACAAAATTACACAAGGATTTTAATCTTTTATGATTAAAAAAATAAATTCATGTAAAGCTTTACAAATTTTTACAAATATGATAAACTATAATTTTTGTCTTGAGAAAAAATTAATATATATTATCACTTATTAATGATATGACATATATTTAGTTATATTAATTAAGAGTGACAAAGTGGATTAGTTTGTGAAAAAGTAACCAAAAAATTAGACATCTTAACTTGATTTGACTCGTTTAAAGATGAATGAGTATTAAATTAGCAACCAAAAATTACAAAAAATTAAAAGTGAGATAGTGTTGACAGGATCCACTATGCCAAAAATGAGATGTTAGAGCGGTTCTAGTTGAACATAGAGAGTGGTTATAAGTGCTATAAAATTTTACGTTATGCGATGTCTTGATTTTTGGAGAGCGGTTATTTAACCGCTCTCAAATGTATATTTTGGAGAGCGGTTACGCAGTTAACCGCTCTCAAAAGTTCACTAAAGAGAGCGGTTCACCGCGTAACCGCTCTCCGTTATTCAGTACTTTGGAGAGCAGTTATGAGTGAACCGCTCTCCATTATTCAGTACTTTGGAGAGCGGTTATGGGCGAACCGCTCTCAGAAGGTAGACCAAAGAGAGTAGTTAACGGTTAACCGCTCTCTAATCTCAAACTTAGAAGAGCGGTTAAACGTGAACCGCTCTCTTAAGTGTACTTCTGTTAACCGCTCTCTTAAGCGTTCTTCTGAGAGCGGTTATTTTATGAACCGCTCTCACAAGTGGACTTTGCAAAGCGGTTGTTCGTGAACCGCTCTCCAAAGTTAAGAAACATTTTTTAAATATTTTAATAAAACTGCCATAATTTCTATTTTTAGCATACCTAGTAAAACATACAGTATTCAGAACCAGTTCAATCCGAATATAAAATTCAAATAAAGCCTGATATACCAGAATTTCAAAGCAATTACACATTATATTATTCAATTACAATTCACATGTACAGATTACAATCAAAGTTTACATTGACAGGAGGAAAATAATCTCATATTTATACTTTTTGCCTAATGCCTTGAAAGAAATTGTCTAAATATTGTAAAAAAATACTAATAATCTATTGTGCTTAATGTTTCCTTTAAATATCTATGGTATAGATATGCACACCACTCCTTTTGCACTTGATGAATTTTGTTGTTAGGAAAAGTTGGCATCTGCACCTCTGGAAAGTACTGAATACAAAACAATAAAACACAAAACTTAATTAATCAAGTAAAATAATAAGCATATGGCAAACAGTTAGCATCTGTGAGATTCTTACATTAACTGGGATTACAGTTTGTCCATGCTGCAAAGCATCCCAAATGGATAGACACACATAATATTCACAGTCATCATTGTTTGTTTGCTTTGGACACTATGTGGAAGATAAAAACAACTAAACCAACATTAACTAAGAAAGATATACAGTGCAATTAAGATTTAGCTGAAAATTAAAAATATATTGTATGATATAGTGTTACCTGTACCACTATTTTGTTTGAGTCATCTTTGTCCTAGAAGGCGGCACTCTCCTCTCTGCTTGATATGTGACAAGAGCACTAATAATGGTGCATGAAAGAAATTAGATACATTTGAACCACTTAATATTAATCATAGTTGGTTGACATAAATGAATGCTTACTTATTAAATAGGTTCTGCATATGTGTTCTGATCTTCAGCTGCTTGCGTAGAGGGTCCATATAATATATAGTCTCGTCAGCGGTATTGATGACAACCAAGACCCAATGTTGCCTACCACGAGTATAAATATATGTTTAAGATTACAAGAATTAAAAGTTATATGCTAAATTATAAAACATAAAGCAGAGACTCAATCAGATTGACTTACCTAACATTATAAGATGCAAAAATCAAGTGATCTTCACCCATATGATGCTTCAACATTTCAGCTATATATTGATGTGGATTCGGATTGAGCGCTTCGTCCATTTCATATGGAGATATAAATGAGAATCTATTTGCCATTGTCCCATGAAAGTAAGCTTCACACAAATATCTTGTATTGCAAAAGTAGAATTGAAATGCATTAAACAATGAATCATGAAATGCATTAAACAAGTAAGCTTCACACAATTTTGTCTCTTCCACCAAGTGAATGGTCAAATGAACCATGATATCAAAGAATGACGGTAAAAAATACATTTTAAGATCACAAAGTTTCAGCTATTTGGTTTTACAAACATGATAATCTCTCAGGATCAATCACTTTGCTACATATTGCCTTGAAAAAGAAACACAACTTCGTGATTGTCACGTGAACCTTTTTGGGTAGAATAGATCGTATAGCAAAAGGAATTAAATTCTCCATTAAGATATGACAATCATGAGACTTCAATCCTTTTAACTTTAGGTCCTTAAATGATACAAGACTTTTAATGTTTAATGAATACCCCTCTGGAACCTTAACTAAATAAAGAGTCTCACATAAAGCACGTTTCTCATTTCTAGATAGGGTACATGTTGTTAGCGATAAAAAGGTCCATTTTTTCTTCTTCATTGAGCCAAATCGGATCGTATTCCCAACTTCACCAAGTCAAGTCTTGCATTGATGCCATCTTTCTTTTTTCCCACGATGTTCAATAATGTACCAATCACACTTTCACAAACATTTTTTTCAACATGCATAACATCAACAAAGTGTCTTACGTATAAAGATTTTCAGTACGGTAACTGAAAGAAAATTGACATCTTCTTCTAACGTTGAAATTTGTTTGGCAAAAGGTTTTTCGAATGTTGTTCTTATATGTTTAACCTCATCAAAGATTTTTTCTCCACTCTTCAAATAAGGACATCGTCATTCTTCACAACTTCCATTAAAAGTTTTTTTCATTTTTCTGAAAGGATGATTTTTTAACAACCACCTATGATGCCCCATGAAAACATTTTTGTGACAATGCTCTAGTCTTATATAATCTGTTTTTTCCTCACACATTGGACATGCACATTGACCTTTGATGCTGTAACCAGAAAGATTTTCATATGCAGGAAAGTCATTAATTGTTCAATACAACATTGCCTTGACCGTGAAATTTTCATCTCTAAATCCTTCATATACTTCTATGCCATTATCGCACAACAACTTCAAATCTTCAATTAAAAGAGACAAGTACACATCAATGTCATTTCCAGGTTGTTTAGGACCAAAGATTAACAAAGAAAGCATCATATATTTTCGCTTCATGCAAAGCCATGGAGGTAAGTTACACATTAAGATCACGGGCCATGTACTATGGGTGCTACTTTGCATGCCATAGGGATTCATTCCATTGGTTGCTAATGTAAAACGTATATTCCTTGTTTCAGTTGCAAACTCTTCATGGTCATCATTAAATTTTTTCCACTGCAAAGAATCTGCTAGATGCCTAAGCTTGCCATCTTTAATTCTGCCTTCAGCATGCTAAGTCATCTGCTTTGTATTTTCTGCACTGCAAAATAGACGTCTTAACCTGGGTATTACTGGAAAATACCACACGACCTTCGCAGGTGTTGATTCTTTCTTTAGGTATTGTGATACATTACACTTTGGACATTTCCTTAGTGATGCATACTCATTTCAGAACAAAATGCAGTCATTAGGACATGCATGTATCTTTTCATGGGTCAATCCAATGGAAGCAAGTACTTGTTTAGTATCATATGTTCTCTTTGGTAGCACATTATCCTCTGGTAGCATCTCATGTAATAAAATTAGCAAGTCTGTGAAGCTCTTATTAGTCCATCCATTCAAGGCTTTTAAGTTATAAAGCTTTAAAACAGAACTCAATCTTGTGAACTTTGTACAGCCATTATATAATGGTGTTTCTGCATCATTTTTCAGCCTCTCAAACATCTTTGGACAATCTCTAAGATCTTCTTCAACAACATTTGGAATTTGTTTAGCATGATCACTCTCATTTGTTCTGAATGTCTCTGAGTAATTGACACTTGATTCCATGTTAGTTGATGTACTTCTACCTTGTATCTCACCATGCTTTGTCCAACAAGTATATTTTTCATCTATCCCATTGCACATTAGATGTTCTTCCAATTCTTCCGCATTTACTTGTAACATATTCAAACAACGCCAAAAATGACAAGGAATAAGGTTGACATTATTTGCATGCTTAATCGCAAATCTAATAAACTCTTTGACTCCGTCTTCGTATTCTTCACTTAAACGATCAGCTACCATCCAACTTCGATCCATATTTGCTCCAACTACAGTTACAATTATTATAAATGTGAATGTCTTTTTAACTCTCATATGGTAGGGCCCTATCCCATTTGAGAACAAACTTTTTCCAACCTTAATTAATTAACAATTGTTACTTAAATGATTGTATTTTTTACATGACAAAATTTGGGCAGCATTTTGCATTAGTCTCCTAGTACACAACTTGAATATGAGATGATTTACCTCAATCAAGCATGCACCAAGAGACAATGAGAAATGCTTCAAACTCAAATTTTGTTAAGTATTAAATACAACATTATGAGAAGCAAATGCTAACCAATGAATGAATAAGTTTGTTCACAAACTGTCCAATTTGGACAATTTGAGCTTGAAAATAATGATTTATTAAATTATTATTTTCAATTTCAAACGGGAAACTATAGTTTCACTCAATTTTAGATATCAAATCATACCCAACAAAGTTTAATCACTAATAATAATGCATTCATAACATTCTATAAGACAACATCAATTTCATTCATACACAAAGCAAACATTCTATAAGACAACATCAAGTTAATATCATAGCTTGAAGATAATGTAGTTAAGCTTCAAGGAGGGATTGAGTCATTGCTTTGGAACCTACAAGATTAATAGTTATGTCTATAAGGATGTTGAAGGGTTTGTGAGAAAGTGGGTTTAGACATGCATGCTTTTTTAGCCTTAGTCTAATTGTATCTTTTGCTTGTTCTAGGATCCAAATAAAGGGTACAGATTTAGACCTAATGTTAATTCCAAACAGACAGACTATTTAAAGCTTGAAATTTAGAACGAAAAAAAAAAGGTTATAATTAAACTTGATATATTTTTTAAAATCAAGTTATAAATAAAAATTAAGTTTGATTCAAACACAAAAATATGAAGCTTTAACTTTTATTATATTTTTGGTTCCCATTTACTATATGTACTATTTTGGTTCTTTAAATATTTTTGAACTAATTAAATTTTTTTAGATTTAAAACTGTGCAAATTTATTTCTTCTATTAATTTTATTCTAATTAAAATTCTCAAGTTATTTTTCTAAATATTTAAGGATTTTATGATAAATTTATATGTGAAATAATTTTAAATATTTAAAAATTTAAAATAATAGATTTTAGAAAAAAATTAAAGAATTTTACAAAATACACATGGTCTGGTGTAACACCCTCTTTTCATTAATTAGTAAATTATGTTTTGTTTAATATTAATTGGCATTGCGAGTAGAAAGCGTTTGGATGGGAGTTGGATGATTTTGGAAGGAGTTTTGGATGCAGGATATCTCGCTTCGGTGAGGTGAATCTTGCCTAAGCGAGATGATTCGTGTAGGGAAAGATGGTTGCAGAGCTATCTCGCCCAGGCGAGGAGAGTATCGCCCAAGCGAGAATAAGATAATGTCGGTCCAGTTGCCGCCTCAACCAGGCGAGGGTGATCTCGCTCAGGCGAGCTGAGGATCTCACTCAAGCGAGCTGAGGATCTCGCTCAAGCGAGATTGGGTCGCTCAGGCGAGGACTCACAGGAGGAATGTCGTTCTCTCTGGACACCATCCAAGCGAGCGTATAAGAAAAGAAGGTTCGAGATTCTGTCTGCATATCTTGCTCAAGCGAGCTGTCGGTCGCCCAAGCGAGATGATGTCGCTTAAGCGAGCAGGACGTTGCTCAAGCGAGAACACGTGGGGCTGAGGGGTATTTAAGGGATTTCCAGCATGAAAACTCATTTCATTTTCTGGAAACCTACGTTCTTCTCTCTTTTCTCTGAATCCTCTCTTCCCTTATCATAGATAAAAGCTGCAGAAACTCCGATCTCAATTCATAATCAAGTTCAGACGTCGATTCTAAACAATCTCACAAGAACTTCCATCTGTGAACGGTGATCTTTTATAAAATATATCCTTAAACTCATAGTCGAGGTAAGGTGTCACGACCCCCTTTTTATAAGGAATCATTAACATTCAGCCAAAGCACTAATACACCATTTCTACTTATTGAATTATCTCAACATACAGATATAAATATATAAAGAAATATAGCGTTTCAACACACTTTCAATACGAATATCCAAATTTCATCAAAACACAGGCCTCCTAGGCAAGCTCTTCCCTCGCCTGGGCGAGCATACCAAACAACAAAACCCCTCAATTTTTCTGATATTCTCGCTTGAGCGAGCCTCTCGTCGCTTGAGCGAGCTGCATCTCGCCTGACCAAGGTCATCCCTCGCCTGGGCGAGCTCCCTGCTCCAAATTCTTCCTCTTGGATGAAATATCATCAATTCTGAACCATATTTTTGAAATTATTCAAACTTTTAGCCTACTCAATACTCATTCTACAGCTCCTACTCAACAGCACCATAGCACAACATATCAAACTAAATTCAGCTCATCACACAAAAATTATACAGCCTTCATATTTCATATTTCAACATAATCCAAGTTTACATTACCCTAATCAACAAGGTTAATGATTAAATAATTACATAATAACAGCAGCTTGACAATTCTTCCCCTGAAAATAAATTTTCGTCCTTGAAAATTCACTCAGTATAAAAATAGATGGGTTCCTTCTCCTATGTGGCATCACCAGTAGCAGGATCCCAAACGACCTTCACTAGTCAAATTGACTTTCCTCTGAGTTCCTTTACCTTAGCATCAGCAATGTGTACAACTGGAAGCTCAACCGACAAGTCATCCCGTACTTGCACAACATCTGGTTCAATTACATGAGTTGGATCATCTGTAAATGGACTTGACGAATTTACAGATGAAAAAATTCATCTGTAACTGAATCTTTAAAACGCATCGTTTCATTAAACCATTTACAGACGGATTTTTCCGTCTGTATTGTCTGAAACCCATAAATTCGCGCCTTTGCGAGTGATTGGAGCATCCATTTGAAAGATAATTTGCATCATTGTGTTCCTGGTACGATACTCTAACTTTTAATCGGTTTAGTTTTTTTATTTTTGATGTATTGTAGAGACTTAAAATTTCTAAGATAGAGTTGTAGGACTGGAGATTGTATGACTGGGGGGAAGGGCGTAGAGGTCCTTCTCCGAACCTGATTATTGTGTGCTGTTGGATTGTTTGTGTTTACGGAGTTTGTAGAATATGCATGTTGGGGAGTTATAAGGGGATGTACTCTAGAACAGTTTAGGATTGTAATGTGTATGTTTTTTATGCGTTGGAAGAAGTGGGCGATTACATAATATATAGATTATGCGTAAAGAAAATTTAGATTTTTGTATTAAGTACGTGTAAACAAATGTAAGGAAATATTAATATATTAGGGAAGATTCTGCCGAAATTTACATTAGAAATTTGTTGTATTAAGTGAAAATATTCATATAGAAAAATATTCATATATTACGGGAGATTCTACCAAAATTTATATTAGAAATTTGTTGTATTAAGTGTAAACAAATATAGGGAAATATTCATATATTAGGGGAGATTCTGTCAAAATTTACATTAGATACATGTTTTATTAAGTGTAAACAAATATAATAAAATATTCATGTATTAGGGGAGATTTTGCCAAAATTTACATTAAAAATTTGTGTAATGTAAAATAAAAGGTTGATACAATATTGTGTATTTGGTCTCTAAACATGTATTATATTTGTTTCAGATATGGCAGGTAAAGGTAAGAAAGGTGTTACTCAGGGTTCTAATCGTGACAACACTGCTTCACCCACCACTCCCACTTCCACTTCCACACCAGCTACTATGCAGACCTCGTAGGATAGGGGACAAGAACAGTTTATCATGGTGTCCAACCCTGGGTATGTTGCTCCTCCCCCTTCACTGCCGACTACACATGCCACACAACCTCCCTCTACACAGGACACAGGTGAGGGATCCACTGCTGTCCCAGCTGTAAGTGGCCAGCAATCATCACAGACACAGGCATCATCTAGATCGCTTCTAACATTAAGATGGGATGGGTTTACTTGGTAAGTTTAATTTAAAATATGAATAATAACTCTAAATTATTTTAAACAAATTATAACAATTGTATTATTTTATTGTGTGTTAAGTTGGATTCCACCACAGAAGGGTCTCCACCAGGTGACAGATACCATTAAGAAGATGTTTGATGCGCCTTACACAAGTTTTGCAAAGGTGCCTAAGGATACAAAGATGGAATGGTTCAAAGATTGGAAGGTAATAACAGTTAATTAATTTCAGCTATATGTAATTAGATATTGTTTCTTGTAATTCTTCTAATGAAATTGTATTTATGTAGAGCAACTTCTCCATTCCCCCCAGGATGAAAAGATGATTTTCAAGGCATGGAAGTGTCGCACTGCACAGCGACTAAGACAGATGTACACTGAGGCCTGTCAGGATCCATCATCTGCTGATTGGATAGCACCCAACTTCCTTCATGTCTTGCAGGAGTATTGGGGTATGGATGAGTTTAAAGATCTCTCTGTAAAGAACAAGACAAACAGGGCATCCTTAAAAGGAAGATCGTTGCATACTGGTAGTTCTACGACTTTGGCTGGCACTAAAGCGAACTTGGTATGTGATTTTTAGGGTTTAGGGTTTAGGGTTTAGGGAGGCCATTCATTTGTTGAAATCATTAGATCCGAGCAGACTGCGAACTTTGATTTTGCCGTATGACTTGGAAGAGGAGGAATATTTGTCGGTTATTTCAAAGTTCAAATACTTACGTGTCTTGAGGATGTCATCTTTTTCCTACTACAGATTGTTCGATTCAATTGGAAAATTGAAGCATTTAAGATATCTTGACATCACTGATTGTTTCTCCGTGATTGGGATACCAGTTGGGTTGGGAAAGTTGTGCTGGTTGCAATTCTTATCAATCTTTGCTGTGGGAGACAGCCAAGAAACAAAATATGGCACATTAAATGAATTGAAAGACTTAAACCTGAGAGGAGAATTAATAATTCAGGATCTCGATCGTGTCAGAGACGTGGCTCTGGAATCACATGATGTAAATTTAAAAGAAAAAAAATTCCTTCGATCCTTGACTCTGAATTGGTCGCCATATGAAGACTGTAACAGTGACAGCTTGCAATTATTGGAAAACCTTCAGCCCCACCGTAATCTCAAGTGTTTGTATGTCTATCATTATCCAGGCTTGCTTTTCCCTAATTGGCTTTCTCTCCTCACAAATGTTGTTGACATCACTCTCTTTGGGTTTGATAGTTGTCGTTGTCTCCCACCGTTGGAACATCTCCCGTCCCTGAAGTCACTTTTGATGAAGTGTCTTTTTGAATTGGAATACATATATCTATACGAAGATGGTTTTGCAGTAACCTTCTTCCCCTATTTGGAGAGCCTCACAGTAGAGATTTGTCCTAAGTTTATGGGATGGCGGAGGCGGGGAGATGATATCAATGATTCACATAATCTCTCCTTACTTCTCTCATTTCCTCATCTTTCTCGATTAATTGTCTCTGAATGTCCACAGTTGACTTGCATGCCTACTTTTCCAAACGTTAAGATTTTACATTGGGATGAATGCAGTGCGGAGCCATTAATTGCAACACTAAACTCAACATGTTCAGCTGACTCATCTTCCTCCGCTGTTCCTTTGTCCATGCTCAAACAATTGACGATTTCTGGTCCTATGAATTTACCAAAGGGTTGGATGCAAAATCTGACTTCTCTCGAGTCTCTTGAAATTAGACGGTGTGAAAGTGAAACACTTGAGGAATTTGAGGACGACACCAACTGCCTTCCTTCTCTGCGAAAAATCAGCATATATGAGTGTGGAAGGCTAAAGGTTTTGCCAGATTGGATTTGCAACCTCTCATCGCTTCAGCGCATCAAGATCTACGGTTGCCCAAATTTGGCATCGCTCCCCGAAGGAATGAGTAGTCTTACCAACTTAAAGATCTTTGAGGTCAGGGAGTGTTCCCTCTTGATTGAAGAATGCAGAAGAGAGACAAGTGTTGTTAGTCGCCAAATCGCACACATCCCACAGATTATCGTTCGTGATTACTTATAAAAAAGGTAGTGATCTGATTCTGATGCGTATTTATTTAGTGTAAACGTCGTGTATTGTATTTGCTTTGCTAGTAAAATACTTGTTGAGTTAGTGTTCATTTGTGATAAAATACAAATTATCCAAATCATATTAATTTTCAATTGTTAAACAATATCGGAGTCTCTGTTTAAATTGATATTAACCATCATATATTTAATGTTAGTAAGTTTTTTGGCATTGTTAAAAATATAATATTGTTTTTAAAAAATTAAAATTATTATATAATTAATAAAATTTATAAATATTAATATATAAATATTATTTTTTAATAATAATATTCTATTATATTAAATAAGATTAAATCAAAAAGAAATTTTGAAAATTAAAAACTAATCAAAAAATTAAATGTTAAATGCATAAAAAGTCATGTGACATAATAAGAGAGATAATCAATGCCTAAAAACTTTCTTATTTAAAAATTAGGACCCAAATAATAAAGGTATTTACAAGCGTAGGGAATTTATTATTGATGTAAAACAAATATATTGGGTTCAAATTTTCAATTTTAGTTTTATCATGGGAAGACTCCTTGTTTTAATATTTACCGGTGAAAATGGAAAGGAGAAGAAGAAGAAATTTTGGACATTGAAGGCTTTCTAAAAATTGTTGGATTTCCGTAATGTTTGGAACCACTTATAAAAGAGAACAACTGTGTTTCTTTTTTCTCTCGTTTTAATTTCAGATTTCGGTGACTTGTTGGTCATAGTCCATTTAGTTATTTCATAGCGACTCTCAAGTGTTAAATTATAAAAATACTTTTAGGATCTATCATATTTTATTATTAGATATGTGAAAAAAGCAAGAGGCATACGTACATTACCTTGTAGCTTAGTGATTTAGAAGGCAGAGATCTCAACTTGAACAATGTTTAACATTAATGTTATTGAAATGGAATCATCCTATTTAGTATCCATGTTTTTCTTTTCTAAAAGTCTCGTGTTTTAAAATTTATAATAAAAAAGAGAATTCTTCTATTATATCATGTAATTTAATATTTATAATATAGATCTCCTGGTTAGTGATTTAGGATGGTATGGAGTTGATACTAGTGCATTGTTCAGAGGTTAGCAACTTAGTAAATGAAATATACAAAAACAGTCAATTTTAGAGTAGTTGTTTGTTAGTGTATACATTTTCTACAAAGAAAGGTAATAAAAGAGACCTTAAAGTATGTTATGAGTACTTATATCATAATTAGGTGTTCTTTTAACTTTCGTTTTGCACTAAACTGATCGTCAAATCCTTGAATCTAGCCCAGTTTGCTAAGATTATAATAGTTGAGCTGTTGTTGGTATAGGCAAATTTTGCATTGGGGTCATATTCAACGTAGTTCTTTTCATTATTTATTTCAAGACTTGTTTGAGTTGGGTAATGTGAAAGGTTATGATAAAAACTACTCTTTGAAAGGCAAAGTTAAAGAAAGTGAACCTGATACTGCCACCAATGTTCTATTGGGACTCTACAAGAGAAAATATGCAGATTATCCTTTTTTCTTTTTTACTATACTTTCATCTTGCTTTTTCCAGAGTCACCTTTTTTTAGTTCACTTGGTTATCAAAATGTTTTTGTTATTCATGGTAAGGTTTTTGGGATTACAACATAGAGAATGCGCAGTGTTACTCTGTATTGTGTTGAAATTGAACTTTTTTATTAGAAAAATAGGAGTATTATGAATTAAATTGCTAATTGTTTGGTCAAAGAGACTTTAAAGAATGTGACATATCGTGGGTTTCAAGGAATGTCTACAGATGACAAAGCTATTTAGATTATTCCTCGTCGGGTTATTTCAACATTGTATTTGGATCAAATTAACATTGTCTATGCTAAACCAAGAAGGAGTATCTATGCTTCTTGCAAAAATGCTCATGGAACATTTAACTCTGTTATTCCAAGGGTCTCTTTTTTATTGAAATAATCTTTTTAAGAGTTAAATTTTTAAACCATTAACTCTTTTGTTCCAAGAGTCCCTCGTATTTGTAAGATGGAAATCATGAATACTACTACGATAGTTTTTTTATTTTTATGTGATATTATCTTATTGTAATTTAATTTGTCGTCCATGATTTTGGGATGGCCATGTAATTCGTATGAGATTCATTTTGGCTTTGTTTCACTTCTCTACGGAAAACTATACCATTAGTTTATTATTGATCAAGTTGCATTCCAGTGGAGTTTATGTTCTCTTGCATTTGAAGGTAGTGTGTGGGTATATTTTTCTTATCAAATGTTATTTACATCCCCGAATTGCATGTATTCACAAGTGCAGATGAATACTAACAAATCTACTCTTTAACGCTAGAAACTTTGAAAGAGTTTTGACAATGGACAAAAGAAAAAATTTATACAAAGAAAAACATACAAAATTTGTTAAGACTATGAAAAGGTTCTATTAATAAAATAATTATGAAATACAAGCGCTCATATTATGTCCAAAACGTTAGTACATTCGATTCCTCGCATAACTCTACTACGGATTTTAGGGATTGTACACAAAATTCTTATTCGAAAGCCTTACAAAACACTCACAAGGAAGTTCACACCTTATGGTCAAACTTTGAGTTGCAATTACATACGGATTATCATGCAGAAGTTTACTCAAATTGAGTCAAAAATTGAATTGGATAGTACAACTGAACACAATTACACGAGGATTTTAATCTTTTATAATTAAAAAAATAAGTTCATGTAAAGCTTTACAATTTTTTACAAATATAATAAACTAAATTTTAGTCTTAAGAAAAAATTAATATATATTATCATTAATGATATGACATATATTTAGTTATATTAATTAAGAGTGACAAAGTGGATTAGTTCGTGAAAAAGTAAATTGATCAGCTCAATTTATTTTAAAAGTGGATTAGACATCTTAACTTGATTTGACTCGTTTAAAGATGAATTGGCATTAACTTAGCAACCAAAAATTACAAAAATTAAAAGTGAGTTGGGTTGACAGGATTATATGCTTAAAATGAAAATTTATATTTTGGAGTCTATTATAAGCAGTGTAATTCTTTTTTCCTTAAATACTTTCGCCAAACAGAGATTACATAGGGACTTGAAGGAGATACACTATACATATAATATTTTTTTCCCCTTAAAAGAATGCATCTCTTTACAAAGCAAGACTGGCAATAAATGTAGATTTATCAGGATAGAGACCAAGAAAAGATTAGGAACCATTATAACCAAAGTTTTGAGCATATTAACAAGCAATGGAAAATATCCTCATTATCTACTTCCTTTTGCTCAATATCCCATAAATAAGTTGTCCAACTTCTTCACCCCCATCTTCCTGCACATGATGACCTGCCTACAAAGTGCAAGAAATTTATTGTACCTTTACCCCGTGAAAATTGGCATAAGATTTATGAAGAAGAAAGTCTTAAAATACAACCAAAGTATAAATCCTCTAAAAGTAGAAATGCTTCTAGCATTTATTCATTAATAATCCTTGGCTTTTGAACAAAAAAACAAGTTACTAGACACATTTTTCACAAATATATGCTCACAGAAAGTAGCTCAGCTTAAGGTAACCCCTTGAAAGAATGGTATTATTCTGTTCATGAGAAGTGAGAAGTCTTGAAGGCAATTTCTTAAACAAGAATAATTCTGTCTAATGAAAACAAATGAAAAATTAAAACTATGCTAAGTATGTACCATTGGAACTTCAATGAGTGTATGGTTAGAATCCTTGCAAAAATCTTCCACTCCATCATAGCTCAACCAACGGTCTCTTTGGCCCCAACATATTGAAGTTCGAACTTTCCAATTTTGGTCCTTAAGTATTGTTTGCATATCCTCCACATACCGCTGAAGGAAAAGTGAATCAAAGAGACACCAACCTTATTAAATCAAAGATATAGAAAAGAGAAGATGTGTTTGAATCTTGTTATGTATTAGAGGCACACATATGTGCGGTATATATAGGTACAGATTAGAGTATCAAAATCAGTTACAAATCTAATCATATATAACCATTGCATGCTAGACAATCTAATTGATTTACTTAGTTAAAAATATACATGTGAACCTAATTGGAGGTAGTAGTTTCCCTTTCAGAAAGAGGGAGTGTGGTAACTGGTAAGTGATCACCTCAACTTGCCCTTATGTTTCTGTATTTATTTCTAGGGTGTTATCCTTAACAGCTTTGTAAGGCAATGAATGAATTTAATTTTGTCACTAAATTTATGGGGCTAGGCAAGTATTAGATTCAGCTCTTGTGATCAATGAGGTTGGGAGGCATATAAGACAAGGAGTAAGCTTTCAAATTTATTTTAAGAAGCCTATGATAACATGAATTGGTCCTTTTGTGGACAAGGTTACATATATGAGGGTTTTGGGGAGATCTGGCAGAAATGGACAGTTTGTCATTGGCCAGTTTTACAGTGATTGTTTGTGGGGACCCTCAGTCCAAGGGCCAATGAAAGATAAGCTTCCATATTATAAGGATTCAAAATTCTTAACTACTAAGTTAAAAAAAGGAATGAACTTTTGTTAAAACATGTCATAATCCAATAATCAATTGAAGTCTAAAATTAACAAACTTACATGGTATCATTCGAGATTCAATCAAAATTTGATGCACAAATAGATATTTATTACTCTAAAGAAATTGTAAGAGAAATATGCATAAATACTCACCTTGAGGTCTTTCTTCATGTTCCTGCTAATTGCATTAAGTGCAAAGCCTGAGGAACCAGATGTGAGATAGGGTCTTCTGTAGACCATTGCATCTTCTTCTTTCATTTTATAGGGGCCACAGCTTGTCAGAGCTTTGTCACTGGCCCTTAAGGGATCCTGATCATGCAGAAAAGCGATGTATCTATCATGTGGAACTTTCAGGGACCAACAAAAATTCAATAAGATGTAATGAACATTTGATACCTGTGAAAATATTTCACCTAGCAGAAAGTTGCTGAATATGGACAATGTTGATGGAAGCTTGGCATGTAGGGCTGTTAGCTTATGAAACAAGAAAGAGGAATCGGAGGTAGTAATGTTAAGAAGTGTTTAAGAAAGGATTTCTGATAGATACAAATATCAACAAAAGTGAATTAAAGTCAAGGAGACAAGCTCCTTTCACAAGAGAAAAATACTAGAATCATAGTAAAATGAGTTCAGTACGACATTGTAAAATTTGATGAGTAAATACACATACAGGTGGATTAAGGAGTATTAAGTTGCTAAGCTTTTCCTGGTGAGTGCTGGCATATTTAACTACAATAGGCGAAAAATACCCCTGTGAGCAAAGAAGATTAAAGAACTTAATATCATATGTCAAAGAACAGAATTTTTTAACTCATAGATCTATGTTTCTTATTAACTAAGGCAAACTTACCTGGACAACAAGTGAGACATTAGCAACAGCCAGTTCATCAATAAGTGACCCAAATGATGTCACATATTCTGCAGGAAGAAGAAAGATAACTTCTTTTTGGCATTTTCTTTCTTTTCAAAACAAGATTTTCCAATAAACAAGTTACTACGAAATTACCATCCAGAGTGTAGTCAAACCCATATCTGGGTTGAGGCTTATCAGAAAACCCAAATCCTGAAAGAGGAGAATGGAGTGAACTTATTACTTATTTGTTTCTTCTGTTGTGAATTAATAAATTTATGAAATGATAGTAAAAACTTTTGAAGTAAACAAGTAAATTATGAATCCATCTCATGGATAAAAAGGTTGAATAAAGATTTGTAAATGAAATTATTACATACAAATTGAAGCGCAGCTCTTCTAACTTAGAGGTGAAGGATAATCATAATTATCAAGGAGACTATAATGGCCCACTTGAATGGAATACAAATTCCAAATTAAAGTTAGCTCGCAATAGTTTTCTTAAAAAGATTGCATTATTTGTGCTGAATAAGAATAATCAATGGCATAAATCATACATCAGAATGTGCAAAAAATAACTTCAAAAAATAAAATAAAAGTAATTTTATTGACAAATTCAACAAAAGAATTGTGATGTTACCTAGCCAATCAAATGCTATGGCATGATAGTCCTTGGACAGTACTGGAAGAACTTTGCGGTATGAATATGCCTGGCAGCATCATCAATTTGCCAGTAAAATTGGTGTCTCAATATATCTAATATATTTGGGATAAAAAATCATTTTTGTGCCATGTGTACACTCAAACCATCTTATGATTGCTGAGTTCAGTCAATACAAGAGCAAATGAAGAACCAATTACAGGATTAATAAGCAGCTATTGACTACAGTCATAACTTCTAATATTCTAACATGTGCTAATAAAGCACACTCTTATTCTACCACTCATGATGCTTACTAACCTCTCAGCTTGGTCCAAATATACACACTGACAGAAAAATAAAAGAAACAAATCATCCTATCTCTGACAAGGAATTAGGGCAATTAACACTTTCACTGAATAATACCACTTTTAGTCTTAGCCAATGTCATTAGTAAATATCTCTCATAGGTCTTTGACTTTTCTCCCTAACCTTGACCTACTTCCAGCTTCTCTTCAAGACTTCCCTAGCACATGACACAGCATTAGAAGTCTACACCCTTTCTCCTCCTCAGTGGTCCACTCAATCTCTAAGCTGGTCTTCTCAACATTTAGTCTTATACCACCCTTCAACACACAAAAAGAAAGTCCTTTACAAGTGCCTGAAGTCTTTAACACACACTTCATTGACAACACAGTATACAGATCACCAAGCCAAAGCTCAAAACATCAACTCTAAACCAATTGGCTACTTTGGGTCAATGGCTTTAAATGTCTCATTGGGATTGAATGACACTCTTGGTGATGGTTGTTGTGTAGTGTCACAAAGTTGAATTATATTTTATTCAGCATTTTTTAATTAATTCAAAAATATATTTATCAGTTCACCCCAATACCTTTCTTTATTGTAAATATTCTGTATTCAGTAGCTCCCTGGATAATTTAGTTTGCTCATTAGTTTCCTACTTATTTAGGGATCCCTCCTGGTTCCAATTTCTAGCCTAATGTTATAAAAAGTCCTTAGTTCTCCTTGTAATCAATTAAGATTAAGTTATCTAAGATGTTGCAACACCCTTGATCATAACCAGTGATGAAAATAAATCAACCCTGCACCACCACCTCTGTGATCACTCTATGAAGCTCTTAAATTTGTGGGCTTAAGCCTAACTCAATCCTAAAAGCTAGCTCATAATTTTAGTCTTTAAAAGTTCTAATTTGGCCATATCTATAGTTGATATGGGACTTCAACAAAAGCAATCGCTCATAGCATCATATAACACCTTATCCAAAACTCCATCTTAGAACCAGATCAAAGAAGAAAGAAAAGATCGAAAAGGCATGATGGTTTGCATTTCAACGCCATAGTCACAAGTCACATCATCCATTTGTTCCCATTGTAGCAAATTGCAATAAGTATGACAAGCAGCTCAACATAACCACTGTATTTCCTTCAGCTTCTTTATACTTTTTAGCCATTGCCACAGCAATCACAAAGTTCACAACTGAACTCCAAACTTTAAGTACGAATTCTATAGAAACTCAAGACAATAGAGACAAGATACACGGCACAAAGGTCACAGTAACCATAATGCCATGCTGAAATAGACAGTCTTTGAGAGAAATTGTAGGACAAGTGTGCATAATCTATCATATTTATACTGTAAGTGCTTGCATATAAGAGATAATCAAGGACTAGTTATAAAGCTAATTAACAATTATTAACTACAATCGTAACAATAGTTATCAAGGACTAATTATAAAGCTTAATTAACATCTCCGTTAATAAACAGACTATTATTCCATTCCAACCACTATTTACTAGCACAAAACACATTTCAAAATGAATCTTCTTCTGTTTATATTATCATGACATATCACAATTCTTTCACTCACCTATAGAATAATGAACATGGATTAAATTTCTAAAAGAATTCAAATCAGATCGTTGCTGTTCATGGACACAAGCTTGCCTTGGATTGGAATTATTGATTAGAATTAGGCAATTAGCTAAGAAAACTAAGCAGATTGATCACATCCATATAATTGGACTTTTAAAATTAAGAAAGCACCGATTAAAATTTCATACAACAACATGATTCTAGAGGGTCCTCCTATACATTGTTGACAAATAAAACTCACCTGAGAAGGGAAACCATGGATTAATATCACTGAAGGATTGTCAGCTCTTCCGCTTTCAACACAAAACCATCTAATGTTTGAAATCGTATTGACGAAATATTATTGAATTAGTAAGCCTGAAAATAGTACCATTTCTCATTTCTACTTGCAAGTTGCAATTATACCCTACAAATGGAATAAGTCACTTAGCATTATTTATTCATCTATTATTACATATTCAAGTTTAACTCCAATATCAGCAGCCAGTTTCCCCATTTGCCATTTCCAATTTCAGTATTTCACTTTTCTCTTCTTTTAATTTTTGTGTTCTTCAACATGAAGATAGAAAATCATTGGACACATAAATATAATTGTATTTTACCTGAAAAGATCACCAGTAGCTTGAGAACCAGCTCCCATGGTGAGTCCAAAAATTGGATCTTTAGCCTTTTCACCAGTGCCAGGAATTGAATAGGCGTTAACCTGATAACATCAGAGAATAGATAGGTAAAACCATATATGGCTTGGAAATTATAACATTGATACCCCAAGGAAATGAAGTTGAAATAATAAAAGGAATTACTTATTTCATACCATATTATTGTAAATTCACAATCAACCTTGTCATGTTTAATAAAATACTTTCTGAAGCAATCTACAGTATACTTCAATGTTTTAATACAAAGAGTAAACCCATATTTTCATCATCCAAAAATACAAGCGTCATCACTTATGTCATCAAAAGATTCTGTCATCAATTAGTTTTTGCTTAACACAAAATGTCCTCATTCTCCAAAAACTTTTTGCCTTTAATTTAGCCCTTCAACAATGCAAAATATCATTAAATTAATTCCAAATTAGGCTTTAGTAACACAGATTTCTTTCAGTCAAGCAAAGAATGACCAAATCATGAATCTAAACATACCTGAAGGGTTCAAATTCAATAGATGACAATTTTTTTCAAGAATAAATGACCATGTATTTTGGAGGGCCAAAGTAGGAGCTCACTCTAAAATACAACATTGCTATAGGATATTAAGAGAACCCCCTTTTGATAGCAATTGAAAAATAATGAATTTCTAGTTACCATTTTCCCTTGCTTAAACCATTCATCACTCGGACTAGGCTCATCTGAATATTTTCCTGTCAGAACATAAGAAACCACACGATTCCAATAAATTTCTTAGAATCACAAAAGAGTACATGCATGTGATATTAACTTGTTTTTCCTTCACATCCATGATCCATCCTATTTTGCAAAAAAATAAAAATAAATGTACCTCCACTGAAAGAGAATCCATCTCCAACAGAAACTGGAGCATCCAGAAGATAATCCTGCACTAGAGCTAACAAACACTTTGAAACAAACTCACAACAAGCAAAGCTGAGAAAACCCATTACCATTAACACAAAAAAGCATACTTGGTCATCATTGTTGCCACTTGAACTGCAGTTCAACTTCAGAGATTTTCTTGTTGAAGCGTATGATTGGAACCTCCTTGTAGCAAGCAATGATGGAGACGCAGTGGTGGAAGAAGAAAAGGAAGAGTAAAGGTGGGAACGGAAACAACAAGAAGAGCCATGAAAAGCTTGAATGGCCATAGTGGTTGGTTTTGGTTTGAGACAGAAGAAGGAAAAGTAACTTAACTGAAATACCGTTATTAGTAGTTTTTTAATGCCAACATAAATAAAAATGAAACATGTTTTGTTTTGTCCAATGATTTGGGAAGGGATAGGGATTCTCTGGTCCTCACTCTTCAAAACTTACTTTATGTTTTATGGCCTTAATAATTTGCCAATACCGACTAGTTTTGTTTTTTCCTTATGGTTAGGAAATTGGAAGGGAATATGCTAAGAAAAACTAAGAATAATGCTGGTTTGAAGCAAATACAATTCAAATAATCTCATAATTGGATGAGATGGTGTGTGAAAAGTTGGGATGCGTTCGCTTAAGGAATCAAAAGATAATGTTCTCAATGGTGATAATTTTAAAATACATTAGAAATGTTTTTTTTTTGTTAAAGCAAAAATATATTTGATTTATGTCTAATATTTTTAAATATGTTTTAAAAAAAAACTTTAAGATGAATGAAGAATGTAGTGAATTGTTAGAGTGAAAGGTAATGGTTGGGTTTTAAACTGACTTGTATTTTATGATAGAAAATAACATAAGTATAAATGAATTTATCCCTTTTCAAAAATTAATAACATGTATGAATATTTATTTTCAAAGTGTGTATTAATTATGACCATTTTATATTTCTAAATTTAATTTCTCGTAAACACTTCTATAAATCTAAAAAAATTGGGTTAATTAACTATAAGTATATATTGTATATTACTTAACAAATTATCAAAACTTTTTTGCTCATGATTGATGAATTCTATTTTAGATAGTATAGCATTTTGAATCAAATCTAACATATTTTACAATATGAATTTAATTGATACATAGTGTAAAGAAAATTCGCATTGTTTAGTGATAATACTTTGAGTAGTCTTATCACTTTAAAATCTCAAAAATATTATCTAAAAAATTAATACGAAATTATTCACTTCCAAACTTTTAATTAATTCATTAACTGATAACAGTCAATTAAATAGTCAAATTAATTTGATATTGGTGACCTGAAAACAATTTGACCATAAAATATACATCCATTGACCTTAGAGGTATAGTTTATGTGAGAAGAAATATGAAGAATTTTAAAAATAAATTTTAGAAATGATTAAAAAATATTTATTTTAGTCGAGGATAAAAAAAATATAAATAAATAAATGAAGACAAGTAAAGCCCAACACCATCGATGGGCCCAAATCAACCTTGTCCATATCCATATTTTATCATCAGGTATCAGCATTTGGTATCTTTCACTGTTTTAGTTTCAAAACAGAGAAAGAAGAAAAAAAAAAAAAAACGGCGCAGTGTTGAGAAAGCTTCATTCTTCAGAAATGGCATTGCATTTTCTGAAGCACCCCATAACCGTCTCACGAGGTTTGCAGAACGAAGCTTTCCTTTCTCGGTTACGAATTTCATTCACAGGTACCCACTCTTTCAAAATTCTTTTCCTTTCTATGATTTGGTTCCTATTTTATTTCAAATAAACTCTCAAATTATTACTATTATTATTATTGTTAGAGCTTGGAAGCTTAGTTATTTTATAAAAGTTGTAAAATGAGACAAATTAACTTAGGGGTTGTTTAGGATGGACTTTTGAAGGGGAATGGATGGAAGTGTGAATTTTTTATTTTTAAATTTATTATGTGTCATTTTTAATAGATAAATAAATAAATAATGCATTCAGAAATTATCACATTTATACTAATATATCATTTTATGTCTATTATTTTAGGAGATTATTAAGTTAAAATATGTTTATTTGAATTAGAATTTTTGCTCTCCGCTTCCCTTTTCCTTCAAAGCTCCCTTCCCAAACAACCTTTTAGTGTTTGACTGTTTCTCAAATAAGATTGTTTATGTTGTTATTGTTGTTGTTGATGATGATGATGACGACGATGGATAGTGAAACATGTGTGGTGCAATGATACTTTTACTGTTGTTGTTTTTCTTGGAAATTAACTTTAGTGAGATGCGGCAATGCTCAAATTCCAACTTCCTTCAGGAGCTACTCTACTGCAAAATCAGAGAAGGTTTTGCCAGTAAAGAAGTAAGCTTTCACATTTTGTAGTTCAATGCGTCCATTCTTGTGTATTTTGAACCTTTTTTTGTGTCATTCATGAGAACAAAGTATTTGTCAGACTCCAATGATGGTGGTGGTTGCATCATTATGTCATTGGGTGTTTTAATTTACCCAACTTGATACAGCAAATTATTTTGTAGCAATATATTGGCTGTAAAGCAAAAGCTTTTTAATAAGTTATGACGTGCTATTGAAGTTGCAGTGCTCGGTGTAAAGCTTCAATTTTTGAATTCTTTGATTTTCTCTGTGGTAATAATATATGTCATGGTAGTTGTGCTTTGGGTAGGGAATAGGGATGATGATGGTACTACTCACATTAAGAGCATGATAAGTTTAGCATTTTAATGAGGTAGGCTGTGAAACACAGCAGATTCTAAAAAATCTACCACCTATGATTTCTTGACGAAATCAATTTAAATGAGTTTTTTTAGATGTCAAAGCCTATTATAGTAAGGCTTATTTGTGGGGTGTACTAAAGCACTTTGGTTATCCAACTCAAATTCTTCAAAGGAATTTTCATTTTACTATCAAGATTGTTTTGGAGATATTTGAAAACTAGGCTTAGCTTAACTAACTCCCAAAAGCTAGTTGAAAGGAGGAGGGTTACCCTAGCTTTATAACAAGTATTCTAGTCGATGTGAGACATCTTAACACCCTTGTCATGCTCAAGATTGGACATCTGGTGTGAAAGTTCACAAGATTGGACATTTGCAGGTGGGTCAACAGGACTGAACATATATGGGCAACCCAACATTCAAATTGGATAGGGCTTTGATACCATATTAGAAAACTGGGCTAACTTACCCCCAAAAGTGAACTCAAAGGAGGAGGGCTCCTCAAGCTTATAAGAAGTATTTTGACTCTATTTCTAGCTGATATGGATATCTTAATAGGAGTTAACCATGACAAAATAATTACGGTCTAGCAGGTATTTGGTTTGTACATAAATGGTGAACCAGTTTTCTTTTTATTTAAAGGAAATCGAGGGTCATATTTATCTATTACATTCACTATTGTCCTTTTGGTGATTTATGCATGTGGTTTTAATAAAGGATGATGCATCAAACAGTCATTGATGCTGTAGACTGGTAGTCTCAGGTTCAACAACAACAAAAGCCTTTCCACTATTTAGTAGCCTTAGATGGAAAAATATTTCCAACATGACTTGCTACTAGATGGAGGAGAACCATGAGCAGAACTTTAGAATATTAGATGAAATTGGTAATAGATAAACTAAATGAACATAATGAAAAAAGTAAGGACTAAAATGAAATGAAAATAGAATATAATCATAGTGATCAAAAGCTTAATTAGGCCTTACCTTTACTTTTGACTAGAAAGAGAGATTATATTAGAGAGGAAAGTATAACTAAGGGAGGATAAGATATTCTATAAAACATTATGAAATAGTAATTATACATTATTTATGGTATTACTTGGCTTCTTTTTGGTCTCATACTTCTGGTATCATTGGGAGAGTCTTTTTAACTATTGTATATATGTGCGTGCATGTGTGTGTGTGTATATATATATATATATATATATATATAGATATATATATTATTAAATATTGTACTAATGACATTGAAATGCTTTGTATCTATTTGCGCATTTACCTTTTAGGAAAAAGCGGCTGGATGAAATATGTCTTGAAAAATATCAGCAATATAGTAGATCAGTCATCCAATCATGGATTTTGCAAGGTAACTAATTTCACTTGTTATTTCCAATGTAGTATGTAAATGTTTCATCAAGCAACTCACTTGGGTTATACTAATTAGTAGAATTTAAATCAAGTGGCATCTGGATTAGTAGATATGTCATATGTCGAGCTTCTATAAGTTCGTATGTAGCTTTTATGCTATTTCAAAGATCAGTAGTAATGGAAGTTTTTCTTTGGGGATTAATTTGGGTCTTCTACTTTTTCAAACATCCATTCTTAATCAAGTAATCAATTTATCATATTATTGATATAGAATTATAGATATCATGTTAAATATAATACAATTACTGTGTGTTTCACATGGAATATGGTCTGAAACTGTTTTGTGGTTCATTTTTAGTATGTAATGGTAGTTGTAAATTGTAATATGATAATTTTCATCAGTTCTTTTAATATCATATTAAACTTGTGTAACTCTCCATCTTATATGATTATATCCATGATTTTTCTTTGAGCTACCAGTAAACATTGCTATTCTATAGTATTGTATGAAAGACCTAGTAATTTTTTCTCTAATCAAAGATGAACTGATTGTACCATAATTTTCACTAGTTATAATCAGATTATGGTCAAAGGGATCTCCATGAATGATTTTCAAATTTGTTTGTTAGAGGGGACAACTACTGGTAGATATGTGACAAAACTTGTTAAACTATTTTCAAAAGTTGAGTATAATTCTTTTCATTTGTGTTTCTGTTTCTATTTCTTGCTTCTCATCAGTACTTTCCTGATTGTTGTTTCAACTGTGATAATATCATGGGTTAGGTATACCCGACCCAAACCAAACTAAAGTTAATGGGTTAATTTAGGTAATTAGATATATTTGGTTTCCAAAACAATAAACTCAATCACTTTCAGGTTGGGTATTGGGTCTCCCTTTTTGCAACCAATGAACACGACCTAACCTGATTAACTATATATATAAATATATATATATATATATATATATATATATATATATATGTATATTAAAATGTTATATTATATTTATATTTTAATATTTTTATGTGTATTTCTAAATGTTATTATATTTTAAATGCAATTCTTAATAAATGGTTTACTATTTGAGTATAAATCAAAATTTTGTAGGTAAAGATTGATAAGTTTCTTAATTTAATTTGATAATTAGATTTCATAAATGACAAAAAAGTTTATGATAGAACCCAATGTTTAAACTGAATATGAAAGACTGTTCTTTATTACTGAACCTAATCCCCAATGCTACACCAATGTGGTACAGATTAGGAATAGGAAGAATGATTACAAAATTCAATAACCTGAGGTGATTCGAGAGGCCTCACTCTCCAGACCAGCCTATTCTATTCCAACTGAAAAAAACTCCAAACTAACTATCTGTGCTCATATTTATTTACTAACAGAGCCAGCTGTCCATTATTAATAGAATTGGTTATTTACACTTTTATTTTTCTGACTAGTCTTCTTTCTCCTAGTATATACATGTTTGAATCTATCAATACCTCCCTCCCCCCTAAAAGAGCCACCTTGTCCTCAAGGTGAAAGTCAGGGAAAGCATCTTGAATGGAGCTAGCTGATTCCCAGCTATTCTCATGATCTGGCAGCTGCTTCCACTTGATAAGGACTTCTGTTTCACCTGCCACAGTTTGGCGGGTCTCCAGCAGCTGGTCAGGACTTACTTCCAATTCATACTCTGCAGACAACATAGGGGGTAGAGGTTGTGCTGTTGTAGTCGGATGAATGGCCTTTTTAAGTAGTGATACATGAAAAACTGGGTGTATACGACTGTTTTCTGGGAGCTGCAATCGGTAAGCTACTTGCCCAATTTTCTCCATGATCTGATAAGGCCCATAAAATCTGGGACTCAACTTAGCATTAGGCCTTCTAGTTAAAGATTTCTGTCTATAAGGTTGTAATTTCAAGAATACCCAATCCCCCACTTGATAAACAACATCACGTCTATGTTTATTTGCCTGCAATCTATTTTGATTTTGAGCTTTACACAAGTTATTCTGCAATTCCTTCAAAATCTCATCTCTTTGCTCTTGTAACTGGTTGACCTGCTCAATTTTAGATGGAATAGTAGTCCCTTTTAACAAAAGAGGAGGGTCTTGGCCATACAAGGCTTTGAAAGGGCTCATCTTGGTGGAAGCACTGTAATTGGTGTTGAACCAAAATTCTGCCCAGCTCAACCACTCAGGCCAATGTTTGGGTTTAGACCCTGTCATGCAACATAAATATGTCTCTAAACAGCAGTTTACCACCTCTGTTTGACCATCAGATTGAGGATGGTAAGCAGTGCTAAAGTTTAGTTTAGTGCCAGCTTGTTTGAATAATTCCTTCCAAAAAGCACTCAAAAATATTTGATCCCTGTCAGAGACAATGGTGGAAGGAAACCCGTGTAGCTTTACCACTTCTTTCACAAAAGTTTGAGCTACCTCTACTGCTGTGAATGGATGACTGAGTGCCATAAAATGGGCATATTTAGTAAACCTATCCACTACCACCATGATGGTATCTTTACCTTGAGCCTTGGGTAAGCCACAGATGAAATCCATGGAAATGTCTGACCAAACCTGCGTCAGAATAGGCTGTGGCTGCAATAATCCTGCAGGGGAGAGGGTCTCATGTTTATTTCTTTGACAAATTTCACACTGCATCACAAATTCTTTGATATCATTCCGCATTCCCTCCCAATATAACACCCCAGCCACCCTTTTGAAGGTTCTGAAATAACCTGAATGTCCCCCAGTTGGTGAACTGTGGAGTTCATTCAGGATAGTTGGAATCCTCGAATACTGTTTAGGCAGAACCAGTTTTCCCTTGTAGTATAATTTGCCGCCTCTCATGGTGTACCCAACAGTTGTATTGGGATCAACTAGCAACTTCTGCATTATTGCTTGTAAGCTAGCATCTTTCTGAACTTCTTTATCCCAAGCCTCCCATTCATCAAATTGCAACACTGTCATTGTTGAAAACAGGGGTCTCCTGGAAAGTGCATCTGCAGCAGAGTTTTCTTTCCCAGGCCTATATTTAATCTCAAAGTCATATCCAATTAATTTAGAAACCCATTTAAATTGTTCCTCTGTCAGTAACCTTTGTTCAGTAAGGAATTTAAGACTTTTCTGATCAGTAACAATGGTAAAACGATTGTCCATTAAGTAGTGCCTCCACTTTTGCACGGCCTGCACCACTGCCATCAATTCCCTTTCATAAACTGATTTATTCTGCCCTCTCTCCGACAGTGCTTGACTCCAAAATGCTAAAGGTTTGCCTTCTTGTAACAGGACAGCTCCTAAACCTTTACTCGAAGCATTGGTCTCCACAACAAAAGGTTTCCCAAAATCAGGCCAAAGCCACATTGCTTCCACTTTTTTCGGATCTGTCGAGACACCTTTCTCTGAAATAATATGGCCAAGATATTCTAAACTTGGCTGCCCAAATGTACATTTCTTCTTGTTCACCTTTAATTTGTGTTCTTGTAACACCTTCAATACCTCTTCCAAATGGGACAAGTGCAGCTCAACAGTGAGGCTGTATATTAATATATCATCGAAAAAAACCAACACATACTTTCGAAGGAAGGGTTGAAGTACCTCATTCATGAGAGCTTGAAAAGTGGATGGTGCATTTGTTAAACCGAACGGCATCACTAAGAATTCGTAATGGCCTTCATGTGTTCGAAAAGCGGTCTTCTCCACATCTTCTTTTTTTCATTAGAATCTGATGATAACCAGATTTCAAATCCAGTTTGGAAAATAATGTAGCTCCTCCCAATTCATCTAATAATTCTTCTATAACAGGGATTGGAAATTTATTGGGGATTGTGACTTTATTCAGAGCCCTATAATCTACACAAAATCTCCATCCCCTATCTTTTTTTTTCACCACAATAATAGGGCTAGAATATGGGCTAATGCTAGGCCTTATAATCCCTGCTTTCAATATCTCTTGCACCAGCTTCTCTATCTCATTTTTTTTATAATGAGGGTATTGGTATGGCCTAATGTTAGGTATAGGTGCTCCTTCCTTCAAATATATAGCATGATCATTGTTTCTGCTAGGAGGTAAGCCCTCTGGATCCTGAAATAACTCGTTGTAGTGCTGCAACATGTCCTCAATGAATGAAGGGATTGCCACTGTTTCTGCTGAAGGTTTAGTTTCTACTAATTTCACCAAATACCCTTCTCTCTTCCTTTTAATTCTTGCATCATCATCTTCATTGAAGTTTTGGTTTTGGACAAAGTTGGATCTCCTACTAGAATTTGTTGCTGCTGTCCCCTCCCAATGGTCAGAGTTAACTTGCCAAAATCAGCTCTAACTTCTCCTAGACTAGCCAACCATTCCAGCCCCAAAACTAAATCTGCTCCTCCTAGTTCAAATAGGAAGAAATCTTGATTAATTTTTAATCCTTGCAACTCCAGTATAAACCCTTTACACACCCCTTGACATTTCACTTTGTGTCCATCCCCTACCTTCACCACGTAAGGAAGAGTCTCTTCTTTGACTAGATTGCATCTTTTCATTAACTCAGGGGATATGAAGTTGTGGGAAGCTCCACAATCTATCAAGATTATCACCTTCTCCTCTCCTATCCTCCCCTATACCTTCCAAGAATTTCTAGCTGTCAGCCCAGCCATAGTTAACATAGACATCTGCAATGTTTTCTCAGCCCTTTTTTCTTCCTCTCCTTCCCATTCTACCCCCGTCACTATCTCTATCCCCCCTGATTCCTCATCCTCTATCAGCAACATATGTAATTGCTTATTTTTGCATACATGGTTCTGGCCAAATTTCTCGTCACATCGAAAGCATAATCCCTTTTTAATCTTATCTTGCATTTCCTCATCTGTCAATTTTTTAAAAGCTGCATCTCTGTTTCTATTCCCTCCTTGATTATTACTGCCGGCACTGCTCACCGTGTCAGAACTCTCCCCATTCCCTTTATTGTTACTGAAATTTGATGATTGCATCCCTGTTTCTCGGGTATAACTTCTTGTCCCA